GTCGTAGACACAAAATAGCATAACTAGTAGCCTAGTTTCTATAAAGCCAGTGCTGGCATTTGAAAAAAATAAAACATAAGGCTACGTCTGGAATTATACATGCAAATACATTTAATCTACTTAGCCTACTTACAGGCTGTGGCCCAACAACTGCTGCCTCTGGTTTTAAAGTTGGAACTGCTTCATGTTTTAGTAATAGTTTCTTGTTGAATCCGGCATTGAATTCGTGGAGATTTTGGAAGCTGTCTTCCGTAAAATGCGCAGCACAGAGAGCTAGATTACGATCGTCATTTTCAGGAACATAATCAAACATAAATTGTATCCATTGTTGACAAAGTACAGCGTCTGTGGGAAGTTCGAATACAGAAGACCTGACAGCTGGATGAACAACTCACTCAACGAGCTGGAGCTGCTGAAATATGCACATGTCTTTTTCTGCATATTCCGGAGGGAGGGTTGATGCAAATGTGTGGGTTAGTGACGTACCATAACCCAGCTGTAGTCCCAATCGAGTCGTTTTTGTAGGCAATATACTTCCTGATTTTTAAAAGACAATATCTCTGCTTACACTAAACTTTCAGCGCTGCAACTTTGCAGATACTGTTCATGCACCAACAGCAACATTACACACTATTTAAAATGAAAAAAGTAAAATCGCAATCAACCCCCCTTTAAACCCTTCCAATCCAGGCCAATGCAACCGGGAGTGCTGTCTTAATTGACAGGAACTTAAGATCCACTTATTGCAGAGCACTCTGCTCTGTGCACTCTGCAGGGCAGTTAAAACCACTGAGAGGTCCCCAGAGGGAACAAGAGGAGGGCAAGGAGGATTCAGTCTCTTCGCTCCTCTCAAGAATCTGATGATCAGGTCGTGCTTACTTAGGTATTTACCTTCAACTGTGTTGTGATGTGCGGCGATAGTGGTAACATACACTTTCAGAGTGAAGGGAGACATCCTTCGCTCCAACCCATCTTGCAGGAAGGAAAGCACGACAATGATCAAGCATTTTCTGGGGTCTTCTCGTGAGGAGAGTACCAGTTGATAAAGAGGTTCCACTTCAACGCATAGGCATGTCTCAATGACTATGCTCTAGCGGAAGTGGTGGTAGCCATCACCACTGGTGGTAGGGTACTCAAACCTGCCTCGTTGCGTCCAGGAACCAGACATGGAGGTTCCAAAGATCAGGACGAGGGTGCCATAGGGTGCCCTTGACAGAGGCATCTGTTGAGACAACAACATGCCTGGAAACTCAATCTAAGTGTACTCTGGTCCATAGAAAAGTGAGGTTTGACCACGGGGTGAAGGTCTGATGGCAGGTTGGAGTAACTGGCTCTCAGAACGTGCCTTGATGACATGCCCACCTCGGGACTCGATCGCAAAGCCAATGGTCAAGCGGTCTCATATGAAGCATTCCGAGCAGTGTTGCATTCCGCGCGGCTGTGGATGCGGATGCAATATGACCCAGGATCCTCTGAAATAACTTCAGTGGAAACGCACTCTTGTCCTCGAATTGTCTCAGGCCAGTCTGCAGTGACTGCGCGCGCTTGGTCGTAAGCTGTGCGCTCATGGCGACCGAGTCAATTTCCATACAGAGAAAAGAGATCCTCTGCACGGGGCAAAGTTTGCTCTTCTCCCAGTGGACCCGAAGGCCCAGACGGGCTAGGTGCCGCAGCACAAGGTCCCTGTGTTCGCAAACCTGGTCTCAAGAGTATCAGCCAGTCGTCGAGATGCGAAGTGACAATGTTGCCATAGTGGAATAAGGGCTGCCTCGACGACCTTCGTGAAGACATGATCTAGCCCGAATGGTAGGACCGTGTACTGGTATGCCCGCCCCTCGAAAGCAAACCATAGAAATTGTCTATGTCGAGGAAGAATGGAGACATGAAAGTAGGCGTCCTTCAGGCCGATTGCTGCAAACCAATCCTGCGACCGCACACACTGGAAAATACATTTGGCTGTGAGCATCTTGAACGGAAGCCTGTGAAGGGCTTCGTAACCCACGTCTAGGATTGTTCGTAACCCACTGGTTTTCTTGGGTACAATGAAGTAGGGGCTGTAGAAGCTGGACCTCATTTCGGCTGGAGGGACCTCAATCTCAATCGCACCTTTCACCAGTAAGGTAGAAAACTCAGCACGCATGACAGGGGTATGGCCACCGACCATAGTGTAACGGACTCCATGGAAGCGGGGAGGAGATTTTGCGAACTGAATGGTGTAGCCGAGCCTTATGGTTATCGTGACCCCTAGCTCCCAAGGACTGTACCAGCGGAGTCATACAAACCACAGACGTACCACCGGTGAGGCAGCGATGTGGAATGACTGGCCCGGACAGGCGAGGCATAGCGTCCCGGGGGCTTGCTTTGCCAGGGGTTGGGCGACAGAGGGGTTCGAGAGTGGCAAGGCTTGTGAGTGATGCGCACTGTCATCTGGGACCTCTGATGGCTCAGAGATGGGTGTGTCAGTTCTTTCTTTAACCACATTAGGGTGTTGCCTACCAGGGGGTGAGCAGCGGGAGTGGAGAACAAAAGATTCTCCACCGGGGGAAGGAGAGTACCTGCTACCCTCTCCCGGAAAGAGGCAATTGCAATTGGGGCAATTGCAAGTGCTTCAGTAATTTATTTGCTTAAAATTATTTTAATGCGTTACAAATTTTGAATTAATCACTTGCGTTAACAAATTAATATTGACATAAATTTATATTTTGTTTACCATTATATTTGGAAAATGTTTATAAGTATAGAGAGGTTTTCATATTGATTATCCTTAGAACTGAGAGAAGCTGGGCCTCACATCCTAATATATACATTGTACAACTGTTGCCCAAACAATCCTGCCATAACCCTTCAACAAACAGACCTGGTTTAAAGAGCATGCAAGATAAAAGTAACCAATTAAACTATGGAGACACTAAAAGGGAACATCCAATTTACTTGACATGAACATATTTTAATTCAGCCAATTTTGGCTGTAAGCCACACAAGTAGGCAAACCTTTGAGCCAGACAAAATACATAGATGTTCTGTTTTGAATGCCCTCTAGATATGTATAGATAAACTTTATTGATCCCTGAGGATAAAATCAGGATCTTTGAACTCTGTCTTCCCAGAGACCCAATATGTTTTCCTGAATAGACTCATGTCTTCCTGGATTACACTATTCTGTGACAGCTACTAAACACGTTTGAAGTTTAACATTTATTGCTGCCGGAGCCAATAGCCCCGTGGGCAGCACTCTGACATGTGGAACGGTTGTGCTTTGGGTGACTCGCGTTCGAGTCCCAGCTTGTGGACATTTCCTGAACCCGTCACCCTCTCTCCCACTTCACCTCCTGTCTATCTACTGTCCCAACAAAGGCAAAATGCCAATAATTTATTTTTGTGTATATATATTTATATACACAAAAAATACAAAGTCTAATCCTGGAGAGTGGTAAAAGTAAACAGATTTTGCTGTTCACAATGGAGGGTGGTGTTTAAGTTCTCCTGCTTAATATACATTTAAGAAATAAGGGTGGACTTGATGTTGTCAAGGGATTTTGGAAGAATAGTCCCACGGGTAAGGTAAGTGACTGCTAATATATATCCAGGATTAGGATAAACTTGAATTTATCCCCTTTTTTCCATTTTATAGTGACAAAACAGCCTTCCCAGAATGTTGTTTTTTCTTTCTTTCCTGAATGTTACCCATTTAGATTTAATTCTTGGGTTTTGGCTTTTCAACATATGTGAAGATAGTCCCCCTGATTATCTTGGGTGATTGCAAAAATCAAAGTTTCAGTCGTTTGTTTGACTTACCACCTTAAAATTTAAGATTTCATCTGAAATAGAAAGCTTTTGTAACATTATACTCTACCGTTCAAAAGTTTGGGTTCAGTGAGATGTTTTTCTTTGGAAAGAAATTAATAATTTTACTCAGGATGTGTTAAAATGATCAAAAGTGACAGTAAAGACATTTATAATGTTACAAAAGCTTTCTATTTCGGATGCTGTTGTTTTGAACTTTGTTTTGAACAACTGTTTTCAAACTTGATAATAATAAGAAATATTTATTGAGCAGCAAAACATATTAGAGTGAATTCTGAAGGATCGTGTACCACTGAAGACTGGAGTAATCAACTGGTTTGTCATCAGATGAATAAATTACATTTTAAAAATACATTTAAATAGGAAACAGTTATTTTAATTTGTAAAAATATTTCACAATATTTTGGGTCAAATAAACACAGCCTCTGTGAGCAGAAGAGACTTAACGTTAAAACATCTTCCTGATCCCAAACTGCCAGAGTATGTGGACAGGATACTTCTAATGAATATGAAGAACTGCCTCCCTGATCCATGAGGAAAAATACAAAGCATGAAGGGGATACTCACATAATTGTGAGTATTGTTTCATTTCTTTGTATTACCACCTTACCTGGAAGTATGCCAAGTGGAAAATACAGTTAAAAGATCATTGGAGAAATTGCATTGAGAGGAAGCCCTTTTTAGTACACTGTTTATTTTGCAGAGAAACCAGATATTATGTGAGTAACAATGAAAGACTAATTTCTTCCAAAACAGGAAGTTGATCTGATAACTATCACGAGACTGTTATATTTAATTTTCTTATTTTCAAAGTCATGGATTGAAAATAAATAAATAGCTAAGCATTACGGAACCGATGAGTGCTGACAATACCTTAAAAAGCTTTGGTTGCAATTAACGGGCTATAGACGGAGCTATGGACAAAACGGAGAGGATCCTGTGAGGACTGGATTCTGAGATGCAGAAAACCAGTGAGTAAATTAAACGACCTCAGCCTCTTTTTTTTTATCTTTTTACCTGAGCTTCAACATTTTGTAGCGGTCTCGTGGATGGCAGCTCCATTCATTCTCCACCTCTGACATTAGTGAGCGCGTTCCGCCGTTTCTGCTTAATCGCTTTCGTGGAGAGAGGGGGCATTTACATTCATAGAAAGCTTGCCAATAGGGTGATGCAAAGCCTGACTGATCTGAGTACGTGCCTCCTGGGAAGGGACGGTGTCATTGTGTTTGATCGCATGTGCGTGCCACATAGGACTTGAAGCAGCGCGCAGGACTGGATGCGTCTGTGCTTCAGTCTATCTATGTCTTTTGCGCCACCAGTCGAGCTGTCTTTGCGCGATATTTGTCGTTTTTAATCATGTGTGTGAAAAATGCCAAGTTGCTTTGCGAATGTTTCACGGTTCAGGTAAGATCCTTACGCTTTTACAAAAGTTGGCTTTACATGTGCGCTTAGCAACAAGTGGGAATGTATGTTTTTTTTGTTGTTTTGGTGCGTTAAATTCAAGCTATACGTTCATCGTTTACTGTTTATCAACGCATATAGGGCAAAATACAACTTTTTTTAAAGATTTTTTTTTGTGGTGTTAGGACTATTAATAATTTGAAACTATGAAAGGGAGCATGCAGCTATAAGTGGAGCAAAGCATAACTGGAATTATAATGCGAAATCAAAAAATAATTAATTCATTCAAAAAGGCTACATATTCTCCTGATCAATCAAATTGGATTTTAATTGGTAAACAAGGTATTATTCATTAAGGAGGTCGTTTTGAGCTATGAGTATTTCTTGTAATGGATTCGTGTTGGAATTCCCCATGCATGACCTGGCATCTTTTTAGCATGAGCTTTACATTAACACGAGAGCTGACTCACTCTGTGTAAAAGTGCTGCATCATCAGAAATTGACCAGCACATCCATTGTGAAAACGAGAGTGACTTTGCATAAAAAAAGCTTAGACAGTTCACAGTTGGCTTCTCTTTGGGTTTTCTCTGCAAGAAGGGAAAAGAAAGTTATCACAATGTACAAAAAAAGGGTATCGTAAGAACCATTGTAGATTAGGATACATTATACTTTCCTGTACAATTCCAAGTCCAATTTAATTAAATATTATTATTTAATGAAGCGTTCACACATTGAGTATTTGATGAAACAAATTAACATTTGTAGGTCAAGGTCCTTGGTTTACCAAAGGTAAACCCGCCACTTTGGCAGTGCTCTCTCTCGTGAGGCAAAAAATAGACTCTAATAGTTGGCATTTAGTGTTGGCACTTCCCGTTACCTTTAACATTTGGCTATGATTCTAACTTCAAGTCCTTAGACACAGTGTAGTTGGCGGTTCCCTCTGCTGGAGAGTAAGGCATGTGATATAGTCTCCCCCTATTTCTGTTGCTTTTAGGCATTCAGTGAGGTATAAGAGCCTTGTGTTTGTGCAAGGATATGGAGAGTTAGCACATTCTCCATTGAGTGATTCTCTTTTAAAGAGGCTGTTTAAATCTTTGGCCCTATTAACAAGTGAATAATTTATTGTCTTTGCATGCATGGCTTAATTGTTGTAATTTAAGTAGCCCCTTGAAAACTTAATCAATTCCTCCTTTTAAACTAAAATTCTCAATTATATTGATTTCACTCTATTTGACAATTACTTTTATAGTGTGACTAAAACAAATGTGTAAATGGGGTACTATAAACTGTCTCTTGAGATAATATGCATATGTTTAGCTGTGGGAGAAGTGGCTTCATTTAATTAAATTTCTTGACTGTAAAATGCTTGGTCAGATGAGATGTTAGCGATTGGCTGATTACACGGTGGACGTGCGTTCTGCAGCATTCAGACAGACTCTGTGTGTTTCTGCAGTAGTTCTTGGTTTTCCACAGGTCATGGTGTCAACAGAACCTCTGTTGCTTTCGTGACAAGACGCCATTCTCTGCCAAGATCAGCAGTAAAGTGATTTGTCAAGCTGAGGCCGACAGAAAAACTCGAAGAAAAGATAGAAAATTCTCATAATTGACATTCTGCTCCAAATTTTGGCCCAACCTTGAGTGTTTCATGTGCTCAAGATCAGAACATCTCCAGAGGGTACATCCACTTTGATCAGGGTCCCGTTGCGTCAAAGCCTGCTAAAGCTGAAAGAGTGCATTCAAAAACGTCCCAATAAGAAATAAATGCGGTTCAATCACATGGCCAGCTGCATATGATGAATACTTATTCACTGCCCTAAAAAAGTAGACAAGCGATGTCAAACCTCATGGCTTCTGCGCGGCAGAGTAAAGAGAGGAAACGACTGAATTGCAATTTGTTGCCACTGCAAATACGTACTTTTATCATTTCATTTTTGCTTTGACTCGGACGTTTGGTTTCTGACACGCATGTGATAGAGGATTAAAGTTTTGCAGACCAGACACACACAAACACTCTTTCTGTGTAATCTGTCTCTTTATTCCAGATAGACAGAGTAGTCGAGCGTTGTCTTTTTCCTTATGATTTTTTCTTCTTCTTAAATCATGACCTCTTTGCAGGTCAAAATGTTGGTTACGGGTCTTATTTATTGCCAAAGTGATATTTTACAGTGGTTTTGTTTATTTACTGGTGGCTATTTACTGCACACACATCGTGAAAACAATGGCATCTGTTGGTGTCTTTCAGAGAAGTGGCGTAGTGTAATCTCGGGATTGTCCTGGTCTGTCGGTGTGGTGTGATCTTGCCTTTAATGGCCACTTCACAGACAATGACCAACAGCAACAGACACTTTGTGGGATCAGTGTTTCCCCCTGTCTGCAGCTGTTGCTGTTGGTCGGCACTTGTTTTCACTGAGAAGTGAGAAGTGACGGTGCCTTTGTTCCGTGTCTGTGTCACATACCTTGGCAATAGAATCACCATTGGCTATCACATTTTTTAGTTTACTCACCAGATTGATGTACTTTACACTCAGGATTATTAGGAACACCATACTAATACTGTGTCCACCTTCAGAACTGCCTTAATTTTACGTGGCATTGATTCAACAAGGTGCTGAAAGCATTCTTTAGAAATATTGGCCCATATTGATAGGATAGCATCTTGCAGTTGATGGAGATTTGTGGGACACGAAGCTCCCGTTCCACCACATCCCAAAGATGCTCTATTGGGTTGAGATCTGGTGACTGTGGGGGCCATTTTAGTACAGTCAACTCACTGTCATGTTCAAGATACCAATTTGAAATTGATTCGAGCTTTGTGACATGGTGCATTATCCTGCTGGAAGTAGCCATCAGAGGATGGTGGCCATAAAGGGATGGACATGGTCGGAAACAATGCTCAGGTAGGACGTGGCATTTAAACGATGCCCAATTGGCACTAAGGGGCCTAAAGCGTGCCAAGAAAACATCCCCCACACCATTACACCACCACCAGCAGCCTGATGTACTATACACACTCACAGGTGTTCCTAATAATCCTTTAGGTGAGTGTATATATATATATAAATGTTCAATTTCTCATTAATGCAATTATCTAATCAACCAATCACATGGCAGTTGCTTCAATGCATTTAGGGGTGTGGTCCTGGTCAAGACAATCTCCTGAACTCCAAACTGACTGTCAGAATGGGAAAGAAAGGTGATTTAAGCAATTGAGCGAGGCATGGTTGTTGGTGCCGGACGGGATCTGCTCAGTTCCTGGGATTTTCACACACAACCATTTCTAGGGTTTACAAAGAATGGTGTGAAAAGGGAAAAACATCCAGTGTGCGGCAGTCCTGTGGGCGAAAATGCCTTGTTGATGCGAGAGGTCAGAGGAGAATGGGCCGACTGATTCAAGCTGATAGAAGAGCAACTTTGACTGAAATAACTACTCGTTACAACCGAGGTATGCAGCAAAGCATTTGTGAAGCCACAACACACACAACCTTGAGGCGGATGGGCTACAACAGCAGAAGACCCCACCGGGTACCACTCATCTCCACTACAAATAGGAAAAAGAGGCTACAATTAGCAAGAGCTCACCAAAATTGGACAGCTGAAGACTGGAAAAATGTTGCCTGGTCTGATGAGTCTCGATTTCAGATGATAGAGTCAGAATTTGGCATAAACAGAATGAGAACATGGATCCATCATGCCTTGTTACCACTGTGCAGACTGTTGGTGGTGGTGTAATGGTGTGGGGGATGTTTTCTTGGCACACTTTAGGCCCCTTAGTGCCAATTGGGCATCGTTTAAATGCCACGGCCTACCTGAGCATTGTTTCTGACCATGTCCATCCCTTTATGGCCACCATGTCCCCATCCTCTGATGGCTACTTCCAGCAGGATAATACACCATGTCACAAAGCTCGAATCATTTCAAATTGGTTTCTTGAACATGACAATGAGTTGACTGTACTAAAATGGCCCCCACAGTCACCAGATCTCAACCCAATAGAGCATCTTTGGGATGTGGTGGAACGGGAGCTTCGTGCCCTGGATGTGCATCCCACAAATCTCCATCAACTGCAAGATGCTATCCTATCAATATAGGCCAACATTTCTAAAGAAAGCTTTCAGCACCTTGTTGAATCAATGCCACGTAGAATTAAGGTAGTTCTGAAGGCGGACACAGTATTAGTATGGTGTTCCTAATAATCCTTTAGGTGCGTCCTTATCTTTGTAAAATAGCTCTGCTTTTTTAATATCTCAACGTACACTCTTAACATCAGTCAATCAAGCATTATATTATGATATTGTCATAATCCAGCACTATTTAATGATTAAAGCATGTTTGTCGTTTTGCTTTAGTTGATGTTTGATTTATTGCGGGTTCTCTCAACGTCACATTTACACTCCTTAAAAAAACTTTTGACATTTTAAAATATGTAGATTCAAATCTACATACATATTTAAATGGGATGAAAGATATGGGCGTCCCACTTTATATTAAGTGGCTTTAAGTACTATGTACTTACATCGAAAAATAAGTACAATGTACTTATTGTGTTCAGGTTGTATTGTAAAACTCTTTTGCTGCTATTGAGGTCTGATACAGGTAAGGTTAGGGTCAGGTGTCGTAGGTTAAGGTGTAAGGGAAGGGGCAACAGTGTAATTACAAATCTAATTACAGCTGTAATTACATGTAGGTATTTTCAAAATGTCTGCAATGTAAAAACATGTATGTACACAAGTCCATTGTATCAAATTATTAATTTCAATGTAAGTGCATAGTACTTAAAGCCACTTAATGTAAAGTGGGACCGATTTGGGATGTACTTAATGTTAGCTTTCTTATTGTGCCCAAGAGTACGATCTGTTTCCATGTCATTTCAACAAGAAACTGTGCTTCTAACCACAGATCAAGAGCTACGTACGTTTGCAATGTTTTTTAGTACTATGGTCTCGTGAAATGCCAAATTGCTCAACCGTGTTGGTAACCTCTAGTTGGAGGGTTCCCACGGGTCCATCAATCTGAAAAAAGAAATTTTTTCTGGAAAAAAATATCATATTATTTCCTCCAGTCTGCTAATGTGTTATTTGCCAGTACTTTGTGGCCTATGCATATAGCTTGCATGCTTTATGTTAGCTACATTTACACGTTACGTTAAAGTAGTTCACTTTAAAATGAAAATTATCCCATGATTTTCATCCTCATGCTTAAGTGGAATCCGTATGTTTGTTTGGCTGGACTTTAAGTTTTATATGTGTTTAAGTTTTACACAATCTCATTGCTTGGCTTCAGAAGGCCTTTATTCACACCGCCGTCGGTGTATGAATGAGTGTATGAATGGGTGAATGTGAGGCAAATGTAAAGCGCTTTGGTGGCCATTAGGTCTATAAAGGCGCTATATAAATGCAGTCCATTTACCATTTATTAAGCCCTCAGAGCTGTGCGGAGCACTTTTATCATGAAGAGATGCACTTTTATGAGCTTCAATCTGATGGTTACATTGGTTGCAATCCACTAGCATTATAAAGCTTGGAAGCGTCGGGATGTTTATATAACTCTGATAGCATTCGTCTGAAAGAAGAAAGTCATATACTACAGTAGGATGGCTTGAGGGTGAGTAAATCTTGGGCTAATTTCCATCTTAAAGTGAACTACTCCTTTAAGTGTATTCTTGTAAGTTGCCATGCCTTCAGGTGCACACAAAACTACTAAAATGGTACCTCAACGTTTCAGAGACACTCCTCGAAACATTGCAAAAATAGGCTGAAACCGCTGATACCTAGATATTTGGCTCACCAAAGAAGATAATTGAAAACTTAAAAGCATATTCATGTAATTAATATGAATGAAATCATATTAAATAAAATCCATGCAAAAGTGAATATCGGACCATTTTTTAATACAGAAAATATTTGTCAGGTTTATGCAAAACAAAAATACAACACATAGAAATTCAGATATCTGTCATATGGGCAAAAATAAATAAATAAAAGCTTTTTTGCATAGTTGCGTTTGACACATGAAAACTGTAATGTATCTTACAAGGTAACACGATGTAATCTTGTGCTCACTTGAAACATTGCTTACTTAAATATGAGGGTTTTGGACCTGGAAAGTCCTTTAAAGGTCCTTGAATTTGAAGCTAACCAAGGTGTGGGAAATTTTTGGGAATCTGTTTGTCCTGAGTATAAGTGTAAAAGTGCTTTCATCCAAAGATTGAGTTCGTTTGTAACTAATCTTCATCTGGTCTGTGTGTGTGTCAGGACTCTTTGCCTTACTGCTGATGGTGCTGGAGTGGACCCGTCCAGGCCTGTCCTCCCCATTACGCCCCATCTGCGACCTGCGCGTCCTCGACCACTACATTAAGGAGGCATGGGATGCAGAAGCTGCTATGGTGAGGGACATTCACATGACGGCTAAAGCTATTCATTAGAAGTAGAGCTAATTCTCAGCGTGTTGATGTTCTTGTAATCGCAGAGAGCTTGTAAGGAGGATTGCAGCAGTGCAACAAACTTCACTGTTCCTCTGACCAGAGTTGATTTTGATGACTGGGAAGCGATGAATGTAAGTAACATGAAGCTACATGTTCCCGTGGTGAAGATTGTAACATAAATAGCATGTTTAACACTTACATTTAGTTTTAATATTCCTCTCTTCTGTATGTCACTTCAGATAGAGGAGCAAGCTCAGGAGGTCAAGTCAGGCATTCACGTGCTGAACGAGGCCATCGGCTCATTACAGGCATTTAATCAGACTGACGTGATACAATCCCACATAGACGCCACTCTTAGAAACATTGTCAGCATCAGACAAGTGCTGCGAAGTCTCAGCATACCGGTGAGTTACACCGAGACCTCTCCAGTCTCTTCAGCTCACCAATGCTGTATTTATTTGATACAGTGAAACGGTGGCCCTCAGATTTCCCCAGAATGTGTCTGTGAAGTTTCAGCTCAAAATACCCCACAGATCACTTATTATATCATGCCCATTTTTGAGTGGAAGGAAAAACATGCTTTCTTTGTGCTTAAAAGTGATAGTTCACTTAAAGCTACACTGTGTGATTTTTACCCCCATCTAGTGGTGTAAAGGTATATAATCACACAGTGAATATTACTTTCTGTTCCTCTCAATTCCGATTTCGTTTTAACTCCTACGGTGGCCAATGTAGTCCAAGATTAACATGGCTTCCAGTTCGACCTCGTCCATGAGTGTTAACTCAAACGTAAACGCGAAAGGCGAAGCTTGAAACGGGAATGTCCCTCTTTGGCTAATGTACATTCAAGATGGAGGGGGAACATGGCGACCGACATTAGAAACACTTACCCGTATGTATTTTCAATGGCATGTTATACACTCACGAGAATACTTGAACGAAGTAAATATACATTAATGAGCACATATAATTTGTGTGTTTTTAGCTAAGAATAAACTAAGAGTTACACAGTGTAGCTTTAAAAAAATAAAATTCTGTCATCATTTACACACCGTCAAGTTGTTTCAAACCCGTATGAATTTCTTTCTTCTGCTGAGCACAAAAGAAGATATTTTGAAGAATGTTGGTACCCAAACAGCTTATGGACCCCATTGACGCTCATAGAAGGAAAAAAAAATACTATGGACGTCAATGGGGTCCATCAACTGAAGCAACTTGACGGTGAGTGAATGATTAAGGGAACTATTCCTTTAAATGCAAATGAGCTGCTGCTCCCCAAGAAGAAGGCGGGGCCTGTAATGCTCCCTATCTGCTAAACATGAAAGCTACAATATGTAACTTTTTTTGGCCACAAGAGGGCGCAGTTTCCAACAATATCAAAGGCGTATGTTTATGACGCAGTGACGAGCTGAATTGCTGTCAGTCTGATGGATCTAATAATGTTTATGGATGAGTGAAAACACTCACGTTTTTTAACATTACAGTGGTATGAAGCAGGTCGCGATTGCTTATAAGAGACATATATCACACGCGAGTCCCGCGGATATAAAGGGATAAGGAAATTTCATCCTATTACTCACACAGGTCAGTTTATTAGATGAATTAAACTTGTGAGGGAAACGCAGCGCTGTTCCACTTGGTATAACGTTACACCATCACACTAAACGGCGTTTAAATGTGTGTTGAAAGTTATAATGTTATTTTACGTGTTAGTTCGTTTGCTATACGAAACTAGCAGCTAGATCAACAAAAGAACAACACACTGACCATATTCTAACATTTCATCATATCAAGCCAACGTTATAACATTGATTTGTTTGTACATTTGCTCACCTGTCTAATAAAACTGCAAAGTCATGACTGGGAAACAAGAACTGGGTGCCGCTACACGTTACTCACTATGCAGTTGTTCACGTCTGTCGCCATGGTTACGCCATGGCTGATACTCTCTTTCCCACCTATTCAGTCCTATCCTAATAAAAAGGGCAAAAATAAATCTTTAAAAAATAAAAACAAGTCTTACTGACCCCAAACATTTTAACGGTTGCATTAGTTTTGGAAATGACATTCTTCATTGGTGTAACGGTTAGGATAATACAGAACTGAATTAGCACTGGGCAAATGCTTTTTTCCAAAGCAACATACCGTACTGTCCATTCAAGCTATACATTTGATTCAAAATGTACATTACATCTACAAATCCTCAGCTTGACTGTTCCCTGGGAATCAAACCTCATGACCTTGGCACTGTTTGCTTGCGTCATGTCATGCTCTACTACTCAAGCTACGGGAACAGGAAAATGGATGTTATGCTAATCAAGTGCACTGCACTACAAACTTATGTCAGCTTCAGGAAGAGAGCATGTTCGTCACTTTGATTGTGTCATAGTGTTACATACAAACAAGCAGAAACTATATACTCTAGTCTGTCTGTTTCAATGTACTGTCTGTATATGAAGGACAAAAATATAATATATATGGTAAAAGGAAATACATACATATATTGTACATCAACTTAAATGGTTCACTTTTAAAAAAACTTTTGCTGATAATTTACTCACCCCCATGTCATCCAAGATGTCCGTGTCTTTCTTTCTTCAGTCGAAAAGAAATTAAGGTTTTTGATGAAATCATTCCAGGATTTTTCTCCATATAATGGACTTCAATGGGAACCAAACGGTTCAAGGTCCAAAAGACAGTTTCAGTGCAAACTGCAAACTGTTCAAAGAGCTTTTTAAACGACACCAGACAATGAATAAGGGTCTTATCAAGCGAAACGATCGCTCATTTAAAAAATAAATAACAAAGTTTAAGTTTTATAAGCTCAAATGGTTGCCTTGCTCTGTTCTGTGATGCGCGTTTGTGACTCTCCTGTTCGAACTCGTTCATCAAACAAACGAACGAACAATTCAATGAACAAAATGAACGAGTTGACTCGGGAAAAGATTTGTTCATTTTGATGAACGAGGTTGACCAGGAGAGTCACGAACACGCATCACAGAACAGAGCTAGGTGACCATTTGAGCTTATAAAACGTAAACTTTTTATATATATATATATGAGCGATCGTTTCGCTTTTTAAGTCCCTTATTCATCGTCTAGTGTTGTTTAAAGCCCTTTGAACAGTTTGCAGTTTGCACTGAAACTGTCTTTTGGACCTTGACCCGTTTGGTTCCCATTGAAGTCCATTATATGGAGAAAAATCCTGGAATGTTTTCATCAAAAACCTTAATTTCTTTTCGACCGAAGAAAGAAAGACATGGACATCTTGGATAACATGGGGGTGAGTAAATGATCAACTACTCCTTTAATGTAGAATATTCTGGCAGAAAATGACCAGCGCCTTTTATGCTTTTCTACCGATTCTTTTTTTCTTTTCTTACAGTGAATAAAGAAAGAGCATTTATTTACACTTTCATTTCTCTCTGTCTCTCAGGAATATGTGCCTCCAACCAGTGGTGGAGAAGACAAGGAGACGCAGAAAGTATCCTCGATCTCAGAGCTGTTTCAGATCCACGTCAACTTCCTGCGGGGAAAAGTGCGTCTCCTGCTGGCCAGTGCGCCCGTCTGCCATCAAGGTGTCAGCTGATACACGACTCAGGGCAAGAGTCAAACTAACTGAAGCTCCTCATATCAGGAGGATATGGACTATTACAAAGGATATGTCGCCGAAGTTTGAATGACTGGGAGTTGTAGCACTTTGAAAGATTTCACTCATAAAGGGAAAAGAATACATCCCCCAGAATGCTAAGCGCCCCCAATGGCTGTGTGTCGAGCATTGGCAAACCCGACCAGAACTGCAAGAAATCACTCCTCTTTCCCCATATGACTGATGCAACTTTCCCAGCTCGACTGGGGAAGGGTTATCTGGGACTCTGTAAAAGTGTTTTGTATTGCTTATGAAATTGTCCTTATTTATATAGATTATATATATTTCCTAGAGCTGGAATCACTGGCTCTCTAGAAAGCCTCTCTTGCTCCATCCACCATGGCCTCAAGCACCTCCAAACGATGAACTGTTGATAGAGAAGACTATTTATCAATATTAATTATGCACTGTAGGTTTTATATTCATTTCCGTGTGTGTGTGTGTGACGTTTTGAGAATGCTGCAGGGAATGAGGAAGATTGTAATGCTGAATACTTACGGGTCAGTTGGGGTGAACAGGAAGAAGGACTAGATTGCTGCTTGCGTCGGGGGAATTGAAAGCGTTCGTGAGAGAGCTGATGAGGCTCATGTCTGAATCACGCCGATGAGCGCGGCCTTGTACAGATAACGCCGGTGCCAGGAAAAATATTGATTAGTGCATGACGAACATCCTTCCACTTCACGCTCAACGCTGCGTACTTTCCTTTGGGAAATGAGCGTACGGTTGACATTTTGTTTCTCTTTTTCTGTTTGTGTTTGTGTGTTTTCGTAAATAGGCTGTTTTTTACATCTGTCAGTCCGGGTGCAACAAAGTCTGTTTGTAATGTCTTTTCCTGTTATGTGGTTCTTTAATCACAATGTTATTTGGTATTCAAATACAAAGTATTATTCTTAGCTAAAAACAAGGAGAGGAAGTTTTTCTTTTCGTCTTACGAAGCATACCCTGCTCAGCATTCTGTACATGAATTTCCAAGGTGAATTTGATGCGAATGCAAGTACTTTTTTTATGATAGAGTGAAAGCCATTACTGGAGTGTAAGTATTGCATTTTTGTCATGTTGTTTCCTCTGAAGGACTTTAGTCACACCACTAAATATTTTTGAACACATTTTTGTGTCATTATTTTTCGCCTTACCCAAATTTCTGCTCTTTTACAGTCTGCTCAAGAATGGCTGGACAAACACTTTTATCCAATAATACTCTTTTTGAAAGAAGATCTAATCTATTACTGGTCAGCCAACAGCGGTCAGGTATCCACATTTATTTGTATAACACTTTTCACAATACAGCTTTACTGGAAAATGCATGTTTCTACATTACAATTTAGTCATTTGTTATCAGAGGTGACTGTCAAAGTAAAGTCAAAAATGTCCAGTTAATAAGGTAATACAAATCATGCAGTTAGCTAACGACATGTATTCATTTAGAGAGAAACAATGAGCTCATTAAAGCAATTATTACAAGTTGTGACCGTATGCTAGCTTTTCTGCATCAGAAACAGCAATGTTTCTAAGGTAGAAGACTAGAAAAAGGCTGTTTTTGTAACATTTAAAATATGATTATCGAAAGATAACTTTCTCACCCAGGTGTTTAACTGTAGGAGGATGAAGTAACAGTAGATGAATATTGTAGGTTTTTGGTCCAATTAGTAAATACCTCAGTCTTATCCAAATTTAAAAGAAGAAAATTATATATTTAAGACATTGTATATCTTAACACAATCTGTCAAATTGGATAAATTAAAGATTTCGTCGGGTAGTGGTCATCGGCATAGTGAAAAATAAATCCATGTTTATTCCAAAACAGCAGAGGTCCTAAAACAGACCCTTGTGGCACTCCATAATTTACTGATGTTCAATTGGATAACTCTCCATTTAAATTAAGTAAGGGTTAATGCCCGACGAGGTGTCCATTGTCAGGTTTTAATGGACGACGGCGAGGCGTGAACCGGCCGACGCGCAGCGGCCATACCATGGTCACTTGCCAAATAAAACATTTTTAAAACATTAGCTGCTAGTTTATATTTTAATTAGGCAAAATCAAGTTTTTACAAATAATAACTCGCCTGGTTTATTTAGCAACCGGAGATATAATTTATAGTCCGCTCAGCTTGTAGAACCCTTCAGGTTCAAAAATGCATTTTTTTTTTTCATGAAACACAAAGGTAGGCATAGTTATTATTATTTTTAATTACACATAAAACAATTAATCAAACAGGCTTCTTAGTCTTGAAACGCTGTACTCTCCTCCTGCCGGTTGTCTTCTGCGTAAAACTCCCGCAGGGTCTCATTCAGAGCAGCAGCGGTGTCATTTTCTTTGCGACGTTTCTCCGTTTTATTTACATTTTTTCTTTCTTCAGCAGCATCCCAGTCGTCAAAGTTATCATATTCTCCATAAATGTTAAAAGAAATAACGAAGTCCCTCATTGTTGTATTAGTAGGCTATGTATCTAACTAACGTTAGATGTTTGTTTTGAGCAAATTGTTAACGGATACTTTGACTGCCTGTTGCTATGGTTACTCACAGCTGTTGTAGGCAGCGCATTTATTTATTAATTTCGAATGGTAAACAGGCAGTTTCACCAGAACTACTTTACTAGGTGTCCTCTATCACTTTTTAACGGACACCCTGCAGCCAATCAGAATCGAATATTCACCCAGACCATGGTATAACAAAATTTAACAATCGGATAGATAGAATCTAAACAACCTTAATGCCTGTCCCTGAATGCCGGTGTCATTTTATAATCGATCTAAGAGTACGTCATGATCTAAACACACACAGCACTGAGATCAAGTGAGACATCGCCTTGGTCAGAAGCTTGAAATATTTTGTAATTTTTTTAACGCATGCAGTTTCTGTGCTATGATGGGGCCAGAATCCTGACTTTTTCATAATTACTATTATTTTACTTTTTTTAAGGAAAGAGCAATTGACTGCACCGCTTAATCAATGTCAGATGTAGGTATAATGTAAGGGGTGGAAAAGCAGGAAGGTCCAACGATGTCTTTACTTGCCAGAATGGGCATTATTATACCACACACACACACACACATACAAAATAAATACATAAACTGTTTCTGACCGAGAAACATGAAATGGCACATTTCCTTCCCCAAAACTTGTACCAAATAAAATAGACAACGCCTTTAAAACGTGACATTAATGTTTATGAAGTCTTTGAAGTTCCCATTTATTGCATTGATAGTTGATCCTGGCTCTACGGGTTGGGATAAAACACCTTGATGTGGATGGCCGAGTTATTACGGGTGCGTGTAAGCGGCTCTCCAGCTTCATCTGGATCCTCGGGCTCCAGGTCGTCGATGAGCTCTACGGTGGATGTGTTGGCGGCCAGTTGCAGCGCACCCTGGCTGGACGTCTGAAGCTGTAGGGCGATGTTAATGGCCCGGTTGATAGCCAGTCCCAGACCGTGGATGCAGATTTCCCTATGAGCGTCCAGAAGTTTCTGACATCTTGCCAGCTGGGCCTTGAAGTCGGTTTTCATATTGACGTAGACGTCGTTCCGTCGTTTGGGCAGTTTGCGAGGCAGACGCTTGCGGAGGGTGTACTCCATCGGGTCCATCTCAAGAGACGAGCCCTCAGGGGTGGGCAGCACCATCGGATTGTGGGGTACAGAAGCGGACACTGGGCTGCGTGGCTCGGCCATGACAAATCACTGGAAAATCGATGTGCAAAGAGAATTAGACGTGTTAAACAATGGTCAATGGTGATTTATTCACAGTGACACAGAATGTCATTTGTGTGCATCCTGGCATTGTGTAACCAGTCCAACTCAAGCGGGACTCGGACCAGGTGGGAATGCTAACAAGGTAGCTAAAGACAACAGCCGCTAATGTAGATCGCTAGCGTGGCTCTTGAGATTAGGGGAGTGAGGTTTACACGCACATATCATACTGGCCTATGTGTTACACTCACCCCCGTAAAACTCACTCGCATCTGGGCCACGGCACCAAATTTCACCGGTCATACACGACCCACCCCTGTGCGCGATTTGAAATAAGGAAAAATGTTATTCCAAATTCAGATATAAATAAAGCTCTGAATAATAAGTGTTTTTTTTTTAACTAAACGCAAATCCATGATGTACAGGACAAAAAGTACCCTGATGACAAACTACTACTAATTCTGAAGTGTGCATACGATGGAGACTTTACTAACCCATGAGGCCACAGGAGAAGATTTGTGGATGATAGAGAAGCAAAGGAATTGATGCTGGTAAGTCACATAATTATGGCGATATTGTGAGTCCAGATTACATTCAAACATAGAGGAGCATACTTTTTTAGCGGTCCTTGAAAATAAGTACCGACTCAAATATGCGATTTCGGACGCAGCCTTTATTTCGGTTTTGATTCATTGAAAAGAACCGGCACGTATGAATAATTCATTCCGGAATCGGACTCGTCTAGTCGCGCTGTATGTGAGTGACTCAATGAACACGAGCCGACTCATACGAGTCTTTCGTTTGTGAATCTATGTTCGCTGTTATGTTTTTAGCATTACGGATTAATCGATATGTTCCATAAATATATATAACGTTAGTCGTTTTTTTATTACTGTGAATCGTACCTTGAATTAGAAGAGCTTGTTTTTTTCCCCAGATCTCCACTAATTAGCTGGTAAATAAACTAATCTTCGTTTCGGTAGGTCTGTCTTCTCTCCTCATGTACCGGAAGTTCTCTCACTTCTCACAGGAACTGATACTTAAAGCCGTTCTTGTTTGTTTACATAATACTACCAGAGAATGTCTAATACTAACGTTAACCTGTTAAAAAAAATATATATTTGCTTGTTCCGTATACCGTATAGTTATAAATTAATATAAAGTAAAATTAGACATGTATAAAACAGGTTAAATGTGTATCCATACCAGTATAAAACTAACTAATCATTACTAAACGGGGAATAGTGCTTTTATTTTGAAATTCATCCAGTACATCCGCGTAGTGTGTGTGACTAGTGCAGTCACTCAGCGTTACTAGACGTACACAAAACTCAATGATATCTGTTTCGTTTGTAAGGTATTTTTAATTCCCTGTTTATCTAGTTTCATTTAAACCATGTCGGACACATGGAGTCACATCCAGGCGCACAAAAAGCAGCTGGATTCCCTGCGAGAGAGGCTGCAGAGGAGAAGAAAAGACCCAACTCAGCTGGGCACTGGTGGTGTGTTGACTAACGTTAACTTCTGTGCATGCTATGAGATCTAGCAAACCGATTCACCGTTTCATTCTTTGTATTTTATTTACTTGTTAATAAAATATACCTAGTTAAGTTACCCAGAAACGTGATGAAAGTTGCCACGTTTATGCTGATACAATCAGCTATTTCCTTGCCTTAAGTGCTAAATATTGAGAACACACAGGATTCTGTCAGAACAGCAATGAGAATTTGAATGTGTGTCAAAGAAAGAATGAACCAGGTTTAACTTTTTTTAACCATTATTTTTGCAGTAAGTGAATTAGTGAGTATATGGTGCCACCTACTGTATATGCATTTCCCAACATTTTATTTTAGCAGAGGTTGGAGGTGCTGAGGGTGGATCTGCGAGGAGCGACAGTCCCGGGCCGGCTCTGCTGAGTCCTCCACAGGTGGAAGATGAACAGCCTCCCGATCCAGAACTAGAGAAGAGACTGCTGGGATACCTGTCCGAACTGAGTCTTTCTCTTCCTACTGATTCCCTTGCAATCACCAACCAACTAAACACTGTAAGAGCTGTGAACGTGTTTTTGTGCTCTAACGGTCGCACACCTTGTGTTTCTATGGCCCTGATGCGTTTTGGCCGATCAGATCTCAAGAAGATGACTAAGACACATACAAGTTTACACCTGGTGTTTTAATCTGTCTCTTGTTCACTTTCAACCATTTCTGTCCTGATTTCTTCGAGGGTGGGTAAATGTATGGGTCTTTTTCAGATCTTTTCCTCTAATTGACTAAATAAGGTCACGCAATTTACATATGATCACGACCGAAGATGATGGAAACACACACAGAGAGCATCAGCTTTAGTTTCCGCTCTGACAGCAGCAACACCAGCCGAACGCTGTGAGTGTGTGTTAGAAATCAGGAATGGTGAGAGAACGTTGTGTTTGGTACGTTTTTACATCTTCAAACCAAACTTGGGTCTCCAGCCGACAAAGTTTAAATCCGTCAGTCTAGCCGCTTCCCATAATGTTACACATGAGGTCAGGAGACGGAGAGAAGACGGTCTTTTGTGGCTGTTCAAACACATTTGATCACATGAGCGTTTAAACTACGAAAGCAATCCGGTCGAATGTGTTTTCTAACTCGGTTGAAAGTGAACAAACTCAAAACGTTTTAGACCCCGTTTACAGCTGTATTTAGCGTTGTCCACTAGTGATCCGATCGAGCAAAACACACACTACCAGGTGTGAACAGGACCTGTGTTTTACTTTAATTCTTCCCTCTGACTCATCCTTATTTTTTACTCAGTCTGAGTCTGCAGTTTCCCATGCCTGCATCCAAAGTCTCCTGCTCAAATTTTCTGCTCAAGAGCTAATCGAAGTTCGTCAGCCATCCATCGCTGCCTCCTCGTCCTCTTCCTCGTCCACCCTCGTCACTTCTGTCGACCACACCAAACTATGGGCTATGATTGGCAGCGCAGCCCAGCCGCAAAGAACCGCGGTTAAAAGAAAAGGCGATGACATCATTCATCAAAAAAGAGCCCCAGGCTCCTCCCTTTTGCTTCAACCTCCATCTTCCCCTCCCAAGAAGTCCTCTATCTCACTGGCTCCTGCCTCAAACTCCCAGCTTAGCGGATCCTCTGGGGTCGGAGGGGGCGGGCCTGAGAAAAAAGGGCGGAGCAATAAAGTGCAAGCTTCTCACCTGGACATGGAGATCGAGAGTCTGCTGAGCCAGCAGTCCACTAAGGAACAGCAAAGCAAAAAGGCATTATACCCAAGTAGCAAATCACTCAAGCTTTGACTGTTTGTATATTTGTGGAGTCTTATGTATGAATGCTTGTGCTTCAGGTGAGCCAAGAGATCCTAGAGCTTTTGAACACCAGTTCAGCGAAGGAGCAGTCGATCGTGGAGAAGTTTCGCTCGCGCGGCAGAGCTCAAGTACAGGAGTTCTGTGATTACGGGACTAAAGAGGAGTGTGTGCAGTCGGGGGACACGCCACAGCCCTGCACCAAGTTGCACTTCAGGTCAGTTCACAGTCACACATTATTAAACGATAATAAATAACAATGCACACACTCACACACACATTATATTTTTTCTATAAAGCTGGCATTGTATATTACTATTATTGTTGGCTCTTTGACAAATCACTTTTGTGTAAGTCACTTTGGATAACAGCAAACATGTAAATAACAAAAACAACATATACATTTTATAGAAAATAAAATAATAGTTTTAATACATTTAGAGATAAATAGTAATCAATAATCATGTTGTTGTTGTTTTTTTTTCAATTAAATATTATAATAGGATCTGAACATAAATTCTTTTAGCCTTTTTATTTGTTGAAAGGGTTTCTGCGGGTCTTAAATTCACCCTCACACAAATTAAGGCCTAAAATTCATAAAGATGTGGTATTAAATGTTGCATGCATTGCAAAAATATCTCTCAGTATTTGTTGTCCTGTTTTTTAAATACAAATATCTAAACATCTTTGAATCAAGATACGTTTATTTGAAGATGCAAATGTAAAATGAAGTCTTAAAATTGAACAAAATGTTGTGAGTTTATTCTTAAAATATGGGGAAATATCTGCCAGTGAGTTATGAAAACCTCCCTTTAAATTATGTTGATTTTTCTGACCTTATTAGCAGATATTTGTTTTTGTTTTTTAGTCATGAACTCACTTCATTTTGATCAATTTCACAGAAAACAAGACTTCATATTTTATTTCATTTTGTATCTCCGGTAATAGTATCATGTTGGAACTTGGAAGCAGAAGCAATTCAAGCTACTTTTTTTGGTTAAATAAACTGAATAGTAAAGGATATCTGTTGTAAGTTGTTTTTTTACAAAGTGTTGCTAATACAGCTCAGTGTGTTTCTCCCAAGACATTTGCATTTAGAGAACATGATTACATTGTGTTCGCTTCAGTTTATTCAATTAAAATGTCTTTAAAAAGTCTTAAAGGGTGAGTGGAACTTACAATGAAAATTAGGTCATCGTTAACTCATCCTGGTTTTGATATAATGCTGTATTACATTCTTTCTTTATCGGACCACAAAAGGAGAATTAAAAAAAAAATGTCCATCTCGTCTATATAATGGCAGTGAATAGCAACCAGCATCAAGCTTTTAATAGGAGACTCAAAAGTATCACAGAATGGTCTAATGCGACAAATGCCATGTATTCCAAGTGTTCAGGGGGTTTACGATAGGGTTTGGTTAAAAACAAACCAAGATTTAATATACTGTTCAATGAAAGTCCTACGGTGGCCGAGAGAGCTCAGCATGCAGTACCTGAAGAAAACGCAAGTGAATAGGAAAACACCAGCAAATTAAGAAAATATGTCCATCAGTTTGACAACACATGCTGCAAAAAAACTCATGACGCAACCAAATACAGAAATGCTGCAAATACCCACAACGCAACTAAATACGGAAATGCTGCAAATGCTCAAAACGTAACCAAATGCAGAAACGCTGCAAATACTCATGACGCAACTAAAATACTCACAACGCAACTAAAATACTCAAGACGCAACTAAAATACTCACGACGCAACCAAATACAGAAACGCTGCAAATACTCACAACGCAACTAAAATACTCACGACGCAACCAAATACAGAAACGCTGCAAATACTCACAACGCAACTAAAATACTCACAACGCAACTAAAATACTCGCAACTAAAATACTCACAACGCAACAAAAATACTCACGACGCAACCAAATACAGAAACGCTGCAAATACTCACAACGCAACTAAAATACTCACGACGCAACCAAATACAGAAACGCTGAAAATACTCACGACGCAACTAAAATACTCACGACGCAACCAAATACAGAAACGCTGCAAATACTCACAACTCAACTAAATACGGAAATGCTGCAAATACTCAAAACGCAACTAAAATACTCACGACGTAACCAAATGCAGAAACGCTGTAAATACTCACAGCGCAACTAAAATACTCACAACGCAACTAAAATACAGAAACGCTGCAAATACTCATAACTCAACTAAATACGGAAATGCTGCAAATACTCAAAACGCAACTAAAATACTCACGACATAACCGAATGCAGAAACGCTGCAAATACTCATGACGCAACTAAAATACTCACGACACAACTAAAATACTCACGACGCAACCAAATACAGAAACGCTGCAAATACTCACAACGCAACTAAAATACTCACAACGCAACTAAAATACTCACAACGCAACTAAAATACTCACGACGCAACTAAAATACTCACGACGCAACCAAATACAGAAACGCTGTAAATACTCACAACGCAACTAAAATACTCACAACGCAACTAAAATACTCGCAACTAAAATACTCACAACGCAACTAAAATACTCACAACGCAACTAAAATACTCACAACGCAACTAAAATACTCACAGCGCAACTAAAATACTCACAACGCAACAAAAATACTCACGACGCAACCAAATACAGAAACGCTGCAAATACTCACGACGCAACTAAAATACTCACGACGCAACCAAATACAGAAACGCTGAAAATACTCACGACGCAACTAAAATACTCACGACGCAACCAAATACAGAAACGCTGCAAATACTCACAACTCAACTAAATACGGAAATGCTGCAAATACTCAAAACGCAACTAAAATACTCACGACGTAACCAAATGCAGAAACGCTGCAAATACTCACGACGCAACTAAAATACTCACAACGCAACTAAAATACTCACGACCCAACCAAATACAGAAACGCTCCAAATACTCACAACGCAACTAAATACGTAAACGCTGCAAATACTCACAGTGCAACAAAATACTGAAACTCTGCAAATACTCACAACGCAACTAAATACGGAAACTCTGCAAATACTCACGACGCAACCAAATGCAGAAAGCTGCAAATACTCACAATGCAGCCAAATACAGAAATGCTGCAAATACTCACAGAGCGTTTTTGCAGAGCATTTCTGTATTTGCTTGTGTATATGGACAAGTGCGAACAGGAAATGTTTAAAGATTTCTCCTTTTGTGGTCTGAAAAAGAAAGTAAGACATACTTTATTAGAACAACACCATGGTGAGTAAATTACAAACTTTTCATTTTACTTTGAATTTACCTTTATAAAACCTGTAAATGCTCATCATAATGTGACTTTCCTAGGCGAATCATCAACAAACACACAGACGAGAGCCTGGGCGACTGCTCCTTTCTGAATACTTGTTTCCACATGGACACTTGTAAATATGTGCACTATGAGATTGACAGTCCTCCTGAGGCCGAGGGTGATGCCCTGGTCCTGCAGGCGGGGGCCGCTGAGCTCGGACTGCACTCCTCCGAGGAAGACAGCAACGTCGGCAAGCTGTTCCCTTCACAGGTACTGGATCGGACAAATTTGCTTCTTTCAAGCTATAATAACAGTGATCTGAAACTGAAAATCACCTAAACTAATATAGTTATATAGATTTAGGCTAAGTCTTTTGATGTGTTTCTAAGCTGTTATTGCTTTCAGAGCCTCTTCTATTGCACATTTGCTGTTCTCATATTTATCTGCAAATTAATTTTGATTTCAATGGTTACTTTTTTTAAGACACTACAGTTCAATACTATGTGGTTGGTAAGATTATGCAATCATTTAATGTTTTCGGAAGACGTCTCTTATGCTCAGGCTGCATTTATTTGAGTATAATACAGTAAGGACAGTTTAAAATAACTATATCTATTTTTAAAAAATATATAATTTATTTCTGTGATTAAAGCTGAATTTATCAATGTTGAAAACAGTTGTGCTGATTAATATTTTTGTGGAAACTGTGACACATTTTTTCAGGACTCTTTGAAATAGAAAAGCACAAAAGAACAGCATTTATTTTAGATATTTTCTTGATAAATGTAATGCATCCTTGCTAAATAAAATCATACTGACCCCAAATCTTTGAAAAGTAGTGTAGACTAACGTTCAAAGGTTTGGGGGTCTATTTAACAATGACTCGTGAAAAAAAATTGTTTACTTTGTTCAAAAATTAGCACAACTGTTTTGAACATTGATAATAATCAGAAATGTTTCGTAATCAGCATATTATAATGATTTCTGAAGAATCATGTGACACTGAAGACTGGAGTAATTAAATGATATATTAAAATATATTTTCCATTGCAATAATATTTCACAATATTCCTGTAGTTTCGAAAAGCATTAATTGTACCAACCTCAGACTTTTGAGTGGTAGTGCATAACCGATACATGCCCTCTGACCTTATCTCAGTGGATTTGCTGTGACATCCGTTATCTGGATGTGTCCATCCTGGGGAAGTTTGCAGTGGTGATGGCCGACCCGCCGTGGGACATTCACATGGAGCTTCCCTACGGCACGCTCACAGACGACGAGATGAGGAAACTCAACATTCCTATGCTGCAGGATGACGGTTTCCTCTTCCTCTGGATGACAGGAAGGTAGGGGCTCTGGGGGGATCGGGCTTCTGTCTCGGTGCAATCAAATCAGCTCACGTCACTAAATAAAGCTAATCCTGAATGAAAAAAGCAGTGATCGTAGCCTAGATGAATTTGGTATATCAGAGTTGCATATTCAACAGCTTTCAGCAACTCTGCACACTTGATTAAACCTGTGTATAAATACATTTCCCATTATCGAATGCATGCCATAAGAGGAGTTAAAGGAGTAGTTCACTTTAAAAAAAAAACACTTTTGCTGATGATTTACTCACCCCCATGTCATCCAAGATGTCCATGTCTTTCTTTCTTCAGTCGAAAAGAAATTAAGGTTTTTGATGAAAACATTCCAGGATTTTCTCCATATAATGGACTTCAATGGGGTCCAAACGGTTCAAGGTCTAATTGAGAGTTTCAGTGCAGCTTCAAAGGGCTTTAAACGACTCCAGACGATGAATAAGGGTCTTATCAAGCGAAACGATCGCTCATTTCAAAAATAAATAAAAAACGTTACGTTTTATAAGCACAAATGATGCGCGTTCGTGACTCTCTTGTTCAAACTCTTTTTTTGAGTCATTTTATTCGTTCCTATAATAATAATAATAATAATAACAATAATAATATTTTTAATGTGCTTTTCTCACCCAATGTGCTAACATAGTAAAAGACAAGAAAAACACAATATAATATACAACAAACAATACCCTGATTAGCATCTAACACTAAGACATGATAAGCAAAACGTCTCTTAAAAGAGCTTAATGTATGAATAAATGATGTGAACAGTTTGAAAGGAAGTGATGTAGTGCTTGGCGACGATCCAGATGCAGGTCAACAATAGTTTGTTTTCTGTCTCCACAGAGCTATGGAGCTGGGCAGAGAGTGTCTGAGCTTATGGGGGTAGGTGGAAAAACGGAAAGTGACGGTGATCTCTTTAAACGAAACTAAATCAGTAAATGAAATCTTTTAATCTGTTTCTGTCTCTCAATCAGCTATGAGCGTGTGGACGAGATTATCTGGGTGAAGACTAACCAGCTTCAGAGGATCATTCGTACCGGAAGGACTGGACATTGGCTGAATCACGGCAAAGAGCATTGCTTGGTACGTGTGAGAATATTACAGTCCAATATTACCCTCAGGAAGATTTGTTTTGAGGTTGGTCAAATGTTTTTGAAAGGACTCTGTAATGCTCACCAAGACTGCATTTATTTGATCAAAAAACGTAATATTGTACACATATTCTAATATGATGATGATTTGCTGCCCGAGGAACATTTCTGATTATTATCGAGGCTGAAAACAGTTGGTCTTTGACACTTTTTTAACAATTAAATGGATCTTTGCTGAATAAAAATGAGTAGTGTAGAAGTAATTTTTTTATTCAATCTGACAGTATTCAGATATTATTACACGAATAACTCAAAACTACAGAGCCCTTAAAGGGATAGTTCACTTTGAAATTAATTTTTAATATGTTTTATCTTACCTCAAGGGCATCCAAGATGTAGGTGTCTTTGTTTCCACAGTATTTTCAATTTTGATATTTTTAAGTCAAACTGTTTGTCTGTCAGTCATATAATGGAGGTCTATGGTCACCACCTCAAAGAGCATGCACAGAGAAGTCCAAATTAAACATGATTTAATGACTCGTAAATGTAAGTACACATTGATGGTCTAAGACACAAAACGAGCGGTTTGTGTGAGAAAACGAACAATATTTATATCGTTTTTACCTCTTGTAATCACAGTCACGTCCAAGTGATCTTCGGCCTGCGGAAGCGCCAGAAAGCGTCTGAAGTGATCTCGTTTTTATTGCAGCCACCATTTAAATGTTTATATTTCATATAACTTTCTTATTATACAAAAAAATAAAAGTGTTATTTAAGTGTTTGTATAGCTACAAATCAGTTCATTTTTACCTTTAATATTATAGTAGGCTACAACTGACTCCCATAGTTCACAGCATTAGTTGGTTTTCCTTGAGAACATTTGCCATGTATTTTACCTGATATCAAAAATAATCTATATTGAATCGAATTGTGAGAATTTGGGTCAATACCCAGCCCTAAAAGAAAGCATAAATTTTACCTCCCATCTTATATTTTTCCCATTGCCATGCCCTACAAAAACAGAATTACATAACCGTATCACAGTGAAAGAATCCTGAGCTCACTGTCGAGGTTTATTTTAGTGATCATAATGACAATATATATATGAAGAGTTCAGATGCAAAAGCCTCTAAATGCCATTTGAAATGTTCTTCTTTAATGATAATTTTTATCAAGCTTGAATATTTAAGTTCAGTGATTTCACTTAAATGGCAATGCTAATTACCTATTAATTGTTATTTAAGTGAAATTACTGAACTTAAATATACAAGTTTGACAAAACTCATCATTAAAGAAGAAAATTTCAAATGGCATTTAGAGGCTTTTGCATCTGAACTCTTCATATATATATTGGATGTATATATATTAACCCTTACATATACTCTCTCTCTCTCTTTCTCTTGTTTGTTCAGGTGGGAGTAAAAGGAAACCCTCAAGGTTTTAACAGAGGTCTTGATTGCGATGTCATAGTGGCAGAGGTCAGTCATAACCAATATTACTGATAAAGCAGTGATGAATTTAAAATGCCCCTATTATGCTATTTTACAGGTTCCTAATTTTGTTTTGGAGTTTTAATATGTTTACATGCGTCTAAGGTCAAAAAACACTTCTCATAATATACATTGCACATCACCACATTTCTCAAAGAGTCAGTCTCTCTAAACTCATACTTTCTGATTGGTCTGCTCTGATTAGTCGACTGCTTACAGTGCATGTCAGAAACGAAATGCCTATTATCATATCTGAATATCTGAACAGTAACGATGGCATCGGTTTTACCGTATCGATTCCCATTTTAGTCCTCGTTCTTTTGAAGTTTATCACAGTGGATTCTCAGCGCTGAACCAACCAACACGAACCAAACTCTTCCAGTCTCAGCTACAACTACTGTGTTTGAGGGCAAAGTAGATGCTTTTCACGGGCAGCCAATGACCTTTGGCAAGCCGTTTTAACTTCATTTCCAGGATATGAATTCTTGACATCAACAATTGTAATTTCACTAGTGAAATGTCACCATAGGCTGCCATTCAAAACCAATTGTTGATATCAAGAATTGATTTCTTATTAGTTGAAATACCAATTTCACATATCAGAAATACAATTATTACTAGTAAAATCCTTTATTTTTGATATCAAGTATTCAATTGTTACTAGTGGCAGTGTTAATTTCTGATATTATGAATGTGATTGTTACTAGTAAGAAAGACATTTTAGATATCTGAAATAATTGATTTCAGAAATACATTTTCAGATATCAAAAATGATCATTTTTACTAGTACAAATTGAATTGTTGATATCAAGAATAGACATTTCAAATAGTGACAATTTAATTATTGATATCAGGAATTGATTTCTTACTAGTTGAAATTCCAATTTTACATATCAGAAATACAATTATTGCTAGCAAAAACCTTTATTTTTGATATCAAGAATTCAGTTGTAACTCGTAACAATGTTCATTTTTGATATCAATAATTCAATTTTCACTAGTGACAGTGTTAATTTCTGATATCATGAATGTGATTGTTACAAGTAAGAAAGCCATTTTAGATATTTGAAATAATATTGATATCAGAAATACATTTTCAGAGATCAAAAATGAACATTTTTACTAGTACAAATTGAATTGATATCAAGACTAGACATTTTTACCAGTAACAATGTAATTATTGATATCAAAAATGATATTTCTACTAGTAAAAAATCAATTCTTGATATTAATTTTATTTTGAATGGCAGTCTATGGTGAAATTTCACTAGTGAAAATACAATTACAGATACCAGCAATTAAATTGTTGATATCAAGAGTTGATATCCTGTAAATGAATAAAAGAAAAACGGCTTGCCATAAATGAACGCCATAGACTGGCTTTATGCAAATGTGTTACTGGAATTACTGACGACTCGTTTCAGCAGTTCAGAATCGATTCTTTCATTTAGGAGACATTTATTTGTTATATAAAGCAGTATGACTCTGCATGAAAGGTAATATTTGAAAAAGCATAATAGGGGTGTAACTTTAAAAGTCTGTGATGATCAGTACACTGAATTATCTGTTTAATCTGCCAACGCAAAAGGTCCGCTCCACAAGTCATAAACCAGATGAAATCTATGGAATGATTGAGCGTTTGTCTCCGGGCACAAGAAAGATTGAATTGTTTGGTAGACCACACAATGTGCAGCCAAACTGGTGAGTCAGACATTCAGGAGCGTTCTTGATTCCTAAATCATCAGATGTGCTGTTGTCTTCATTATTAACTCGCTTGTTATCTTTCTCACTGTTATCCAGGGTAACTCTTGGTAACCAGTTGGACGGTATTCACCTTTTAGACCCTGAAGTAGTGGCACGTTTTAAAAAGCGCTACCCTGACGGGGTCATTGGCAAACCTAAAAACATGTGAGGAGTGGACTAGCGAGAGAAGTACGGCTGCTGATGAACTCAAGACTGAAAGGAAGAGACTTTTGTACCACTTTGCTTTTTTCAATAAAAATGCTGAAGCACATTTTTAGTTGTCTTTCCTTACAGATTGATTCATAATTTCACAGAAGATTCTTTAAAGTGCCTGTAAAGTCAAAATTAAGTATGTGTTCTGAGTTTGTCACACCACAGAAAAATGTGTTATTAGCCACCTAGCCAAATTTGAATGATGATAAAAGCTATCAAAATCATGAAAAAATGAGCAGTTATCTCTGTTCTCAAACGCTGGGGGCGTGTCCGCTGGCTGCGTGAAACCACGCCCACTGGCGGGAAAGCTGTCGACGGTGATACTGCTTTCGGGACGGGAGAATGAACGCTGAGGCGGGAGATAGTCGTTTCGGCATGAAATTGAAGTTCCGACAGTCTTTTCTTCCCTATTGTAACTATATCCAAGTAAATTGTCTTCTTAAACAAGAAAAAATGTAGGGCGGGGCTTGACTTTGTCCCTCAGAAATTGATTGGATGGTTGAATCATTGTAGTTTGCGATTGGTCGATCTCTTATGAGTGACAGGTTGGCCCTACCTCGCGCCAGTAAACTCGTCATCAAAAGAGAGGGGAAGTTTGATTAAAGATTATGAATTTGAATGATGGTTTTCTGATATAACAGCACAAAACAACTTGTTTCTTTTTGACAGTTTTATTGTTTTACAATCATCAATGAAAGCAAAAGTACATGTGATGTTTTCATAATTTAGTAGTTGCGGTGTTTTTTTTTTACTTATTACGATTGTTATTTTTAAAAAAAAATGATTTACACATTGTTTCATACAAAACATACAAAAATATCTTTCAGATTATTTGCGACTTCAAATGTGTATCGTCTTCTGGTCATTTTTTTGGGGTTAGGGTGTAAATAGCCTACATATTTAACATCTAAAAAATCACAAATATTAATACGTGCATGATCAAGTGAAGACGGCCATAGGCATAATCTAAAACCTGTTATTCAAACACGTCTTTACCAATTCACTTGACTGGTTTTAAACATGCAAAGAAAAACCTTATAATTCTACATTAGTTTTACGTTACATAGAGTTCGTGAAACAAACACTTTTCAAACAAAAAGTGTTTATGATGGGTCTGTTTCAGAAAAAATGAACAGATCGTGTATACGGGCTAGAAAATGGAACTTGCATAGAAAGCAAAATAAACTTTAGAGACCTTTCCATTTATGTGAAAGAGAAAAACATTCAGTTGCTTTAACAGTACACTGACTTTATAATCAACGAGGCAAAGCGTGATTAAATTTGACAGGCAAAATAATCGGTAGACAAATTCTGGCTCACACCCCTCAATTGACTTTAGATATCAGTCTCCTCTGATTAAACCATCCAGTTCAGATCGTGAAGACGCATTTATAGCAGAGATGGTGCTACAGACTAAGAAGAAAAAAAAGCACTTTGTGATCATGTAAACATTGCCCCTAAAAATGTGTTTCACAATTTCCTCCTTAACCAATCACACTCAGCTGTACCGTTACTGTTAGAGGACATCAAACACTTATCATCACATTGTTACAATGCATACAGCTGACGCTCATGAGTGTCCAAACTGCTTGTTTCTACTAATGACTCGTCCCCCAGTTCCTCTCAAACGCTCTGGATTGGGACGGAAAATCTGGTTTCCTTTCAAGGATTCTCCAGGGATCACTCGCAGAAGAAAGTTAGTATGTGGCGTCCACTGCATTGATGTTGCTGTCCATCTGGTGCCGAAGCGAGAGCCGAGCCTTGTGGGAAAAATAGGCCTGTGGGCAACTTGTGGGACTGCTGGCGCTGTCGCCTTCACTGCCCCAAGAGGTGGTGGAGGACAGCCGGGGCTTCAGCTCGTCACTTGCTACTACTGAAGACATGAGTAGAAATGAAAAGAAGTTAGAAAATGTCTGCTTGGAACTTAAAGGGATAGTTCACCCAAAATGTCTGTCATTCATTTCTCACCCTCATGTCTTCCCAAACCTGAAAGACCTTTGTTTATCAGAACACAAATGACGATCTTGTTGATGAAATCTGAAAGAGTTCACAAAGAGATCGTAAAACTAATCCATATGAATTTAGTTTAGTCCAATTTTTTCTTTATTATATATGATGCACTGATTTAATTAAGTCTTTTATTAGTGTATTAACATTGATCAACAAACATGAACAGAAGCTCAAGATTAATGTTTTGATGCGAATAAAAGCCTAAATTCAATCTGTGCATCATATAAAGAAAACATTGGACTAAACTGTACTCATGGATTAGTTTTACGACGATCCCTTTGTGAACTTTTTCATAGCTGTCAATGGAGGGGCAGATACCTCTCAATTTCATCAAAAAGATCTTCATTTGTGTTCCGATGATGACAAAAGTCCTACAGGTTTGATAAAAATTCATGGATAAATTAGTGACAATTTTCATTTTTCTGCAGCAGTTTATTCCTTCTACAAAAAAAGCGGCATCGCCATCTACCGGGCATTGGAGGAACTGTATCTCTTGTTTACCCAAACTAGTCAACAAGGCTCATGAGTGCATTAGCAAGTGTTTCATGGACTTTATCAAATGAGGACACAGCCGAAACCAGCACGTCCAGTGTAAGTAGGCTCTGACCATTTAATTTAATTTTACTGAACATTATTTTATTTCCCCGTTACATTGAAGAGAGACCTTTTCGGAAATTGAGCTTAACTAAGTTGTCAGTGTTTATCGACGTTAAGAGGCTTTGTGTCGACTGTCGACTTGGATTTCTTACAATATTGAGCGATTTTAGAAAATAAATGTGATTTACTCTCCTCACAAACCAACGGTTTCTTGTTATTCACTGACATCTTAGGTTTTGTGAATAATAAAATAAGATAAAATCCATTTACACAAGTGACATTGGAATTGGTAGTTATTCTCGCTATGTTTTACGTAGGCTAAGTGTGTTTTTCAGGTTTACACTTGACATTAGAGAACACAGTTTTCTCTGCTTGTATTTTACACAACCAGTTTATCATTTAGCCATCAATTATTATTACAATTTGTCATTATACAGTTTGAGAGTATGAAATATCTCACCCGTCTCAGGAGGGCACTGTCTTTTGCACCTCTCCTTGCAGCGTCTGTAGAAGGGGAAGCACTGCAGCATTTTTACACCCATTTCACCAGCAGGGGGCGCTAAAACACAAGAGAAACACCAGTCCTGTCAGTCAATTAAACCAGTTCTTATCTCGTTATTCATAACAGGGGTTAAAACAGCTGGTGGGAAATTAAATGTCGATTGCCATTTGCCTTTCTTGTACTGTATTGTAAAACAGCTTCAGTTTGCTGTTTATTAGTTTTCTAAAACTTCACAGTGACCGGGTTTTATGCATAGCGGTAATCTCATTAGCTGCAGACGTGTGTGTGTGTGCGTGCATGTAGACTTCAACTCTAATCCCATAAAGCGACGTCATTGGAGAGACTGACCGGAGACATCCGATCTCATAAATCCTTGATTGGGACTTAGGTCAAGTTCCCTGATAGTTTTTGTGACGATAAACATTTTGTAAACCACTTTTAAAGGGACAGTTCACCCAAAAATCACTTTTAAAGGGACAGTTCACCCAAAAATCACTTTTAAAGGGACAGTTCACCCAAGAGGTCCTCGCTGCAGTCTGTAGCACGATGACGTAGCTGGACGGTCCAATACGTGTTGGACCCTGTAACGCGCGCATGCGCACTAGTCAAGTCAAGTCATCTTGATTTATATATCGCTTTTAACAATTTAGATTGTTTCAAAGCAGCTTTAATTTAATGTAACAGATTGTTTTTGCTTTATAGCGGTTCATGAATAATGTTATTTTACAGCTAGTTAGTTTTGATTCTGTCGAAATGATCATTTGTTATTAAATTAGGGGATGACACCGTTCTCTCTAAACAGACTTTTAACGCGATCCTGTGATAAATGCTGATGGCACATGCACATTAAGAATTCATAGGCCTAGTTAGAGAGTTGGTGAACAATCGTTGATCTTCCAAGAATACATTTAAATATGGTCACGAGCGAAGCTCTTATTTTTAGAGCTTTCAGAATAAAACCTTTTTTTAAATAGCCTAATTGCGACTTTTTCCTTACAATTGCGAGTATACTTTTCGCAGACTTTATTTCTCAGAATTGTGAGACATAAAGTCAGAATCGCGTGAAATAAAGCCTCAATCGCATGTTATAAAGACATAATTGCTTGAAATAAAGCCTCAATCGCATGTCATAAAGACATAATTAGGTGAAATAAAGCCTCAATCGCATCTTATAAAGACAGAATTAGGTCAAATAAAGCCTCAATCGCTTGTCATAAAGACATAATTAGGTGAAATAAAGCCTCAATCGCATGTTATAAAAACAGAATTAGGTCAAATAAAGCCTTAATCGCATGTTATAGAGAAAGAATTAGGTGAAAGAAAGCCTCAATCGCTTGTTATAAAGACAGAATTAGGTCAAATAAAGCCTTAATCGCATGTTATAGAGAAAGAATTAGGTGAAAGAAAGCCTCAATCGCTTGTTATAAAGACAGAATTGCGTGAAATAAAGTCGCAATTGTGTGCTATAAAGTCAGAATTCTGACCTTTTTTCTCGCAATTCTGAATGTATAACATAAATGCGAGTTTATTATTACAAAATTTATTTTCCCCATGCTGTTATTATTTTAGCATTTTCCTTACTTATTCATCAATAATTACTTATAATTATTTAACAGTATTATACTACACAGTTTGAACATCATCTCAGTACAATATTGAGCTTACATATCACTTAAAACCAATGCATTCGAATTATAATCAGAGATCGGCACTGCGCATGCGTAAATGACGTCACCAAAACACACATCCATCCACTACGTATTGGACCATCCAGCTACGTCATCGTGCTACAGGCTGCAGCGAGGGGTGTCTCAGTTCACCCAAAAATCACTTTTAAAGGGACAGTTCACCCAAAAATGAAAATAACCCCATGGTTTTTCCCCGCCCTCAGGCCATCCTATGTGTATATGACATTCTTCTTTCAGACGAACACAATCGGAGTTACACTAAAAAATGTAGTGGCTCTTCCAAGCTTTATAATGGCAGTTTCTGTTTGGGATTTATGCGTAAACTCATTTCGACATGTTTGAGGGGATGCACCCTGCAATTGTTGAATATGAGGGTTTGGTTATGGCTCAGTTAACTTTGATCAGAACCTAAAGACAAACACATCTCAAGATCTTTATGTGACTGAGTGGCCAATGGATCTCTTATCAGCTTCCCCCCCCTGGTTTTGCATGGCCTTTGGTTTGTAGTATACAGGGTTAATGGTTAATTTTTAATGACTTGGCTTTTACACTTGTGTGTGTGCTCTATGAATTATGTCTGCTTCAGAAACCTGCACATGGTGGATCACAAACTACAACAGAGCGTGTGTAATAGGTCATTGGATCATAGTTGTCAAGCATGCAATGCAATGCAGGGCAGACGATGTTTTCCATCCAGCTGCATGTCTCTCACACAGAAACCTCATTAACTAGTAAAACGACTGTCACAAAACCATGTCAGCACACGCCACAGAAATATGGACGTTTACTGTCATGCATAACTCCGTTCCCACCCAACCCTCCGCTGTCATTTTTGCGGTGAACTCGTAAATCATCGGAAATCTGTCATGTTTTCGTTCAGCTTGTTAACTTGAGTCTAAATGCTTGAGGACAAAACATGCAAAATTCAGATTAAATGCTCTTACACTCTCAGAAAAAAAGGTACAAAAGCTGTCACTGGGGCTGTACCTTTTCAAAAGGTAAACTTTTGTCCATTTTAGGTGCTAATAATATGTACATTTTAACCCCTTAACTGTCACCCCCCCTTTTTGAGAATGGGGGTTAAATGCTCTATTCACACTTAAATGGTTGTAATTTAAGAATGCCTTGGAATATATACCCACGTTTGGTCTTGTTTTAAAGAAAACACTCAGCAGATTATTGCTGAAGTGAAAACACTTCAAAAAATGAAAGTATGAAAAAGTTATGGAAGTTTTAATTCACAGTAAATCAAATATACTGTACTATATATTTTTTATTTTATATAAAATATATATTTTACAAAATATTTTTACTCTAAAATTACTATAAAATCAAAGCCATAAATCTAACCAAGTTATGTTCCAAATTTGAAGTTAATATCACAAAAATTGAAGTTCCCATTAAATTTTGTTTAGGCGTAGTACCAAAAATAGCCACCGGGTGCCATTGAATTCCATTGAATTTAGTTGTGTACATTCTGCCTTAACAAATTAATACATTTCTGTCCAAATATCAATTTTGTCACAAAATTTGGAACCTTCAGACTCAGACCTTTCTGACAATATGTGTTTTGTCAAGATTAATAAAGGTTTTGATCATAAATTATGAAATATAAGGATGCCCAAAAGGGGAGGAGCCTCATAAAATAAGTACCGTTTCTATGGTAACGCAACGTTCAATTATAAAATGGTTTTCACAGGATGAATTCTGAGTTTATAAGCTTTCAAATGATACCTAATTTATGATAACTACTAAAATGTGTGATATAATAAAAAAGGCGATAAAAAATATTATATTTTAGAGGATAATATATACATATATATTATCATTTTTAGAGGATAATTTTATACTATACTTTTTATTTTTTATTGAAAAATACTAGATTATATGTTTTATTATGAACTTTTAGCATAAAAACTGAAGTTTCAATGATTAAAAGTGGGTGCATCAACTTTTTGTGACAAAGGTCAAAACTCCTGTTATGATGCAGATTTTTTTAGGTGCACTCTTGTCATAAATTCATTAATTACTCTTCCTACATAATTTTTAACACAAAACAGGGGTCGAATATTTAATTAGAAGTCTTAGACCTTTCCAAAAATATATAATTTGTCATAATTAGATTAGGATTTAATAGAAATATAGTGAAGTAAAGTTAGGCGTCCCGGTACCGGGACGGTGACAGTTAAGGGGTTAAGTGTTAATATATGTACATTTTAGGTGCTGATATGTACATTTAGGTACTAAAATGTACATTTTAGGTGCTAAGTACATTTTAGGTGATAATATGTCCATTTCAGGAGCTAATATGTACATTTTAGGTGCTAATATGTAAATTTTTAGGTGCTAATATGTACATTTTTAGGTGCTAATATGTACATTTTAGGTGCTAAGTACATTTTAGGTGATAATATGTCCATTTCAGGAGCTAATATGTACATTTTAGGTGCTAATATGTACACTTAGGTACTAATATGTACATTTTTAGGTGCTAATATGTCCAGTTCATTAGCTAATATGTACCACTAAGGTACCAATATGCAGCCTTTGGGTACAAAAGTGTACCTTTTGAAAAGGTACAGCCCCAGGGACAGCTTTTGTACCTTTTTTTCTGAGAGTGTAGCCACTGCTAATGTTTGAGTTGATACAAAAAAAATATATATATATTTTGGAAATAAATGGAGTTTGATTAGCTCCTTTTATGGTGGAATAATGAATATAGCATCTCTATTCATTAGTCATTAGCATTTAATTTGTTGTTTTATGTGAGTTTCAGCCTTACAATCATTTTGCAGGTTTATATCTTCAGATCTTAAAGAGTCAAAATGATAAGAGAGATTAGTTTGGTTTCTCTCCGTGTTTGTCTAAATGTCTTCTTTTCGTTATAGGCATAAAAACTGCTGATGAAATGATTTTAACCTCTTCGTAGTCTTTTACACAACCTCAGATGGTTTGCATCGAACCTCAGAGCGTTTGTGGAGAACATTTTTCTCCAAAATGTTTTCCAATGTTGTTTTTTATTAAATTTCCCTCGGTTCCAGTAAAGGCGCACACACATTTCCATTACGTCTTGTGCCAATCATATGATATGCATTTATCCGCAACAATTCCTCTTTTCTTGTCTCCTCTCAGACCTTTTTATAACTCACGCAAAACATAGTTCATGCGGAAAGGCACGTCTCAGTTTTTTCTTAGTTCTTTGTGTGTAAAATGCATAATTGAAAAGGCCCAGAAACATTGGGGAGGAATAACAATGGAGAAAATTCTTATTTTTTGGAAAGGCTCTTGTTTGGAGACCCAGAAATGACGAAAGACAGTTTGAAGTTGTTTGCTAGTGACATGCACTTGTGTTCATGTACAAAGCAGATGCAAACACATACACATCCTTATAGGGTGTTTAATCTAGACTTGTGACCTAACATGGCGATCCATGTGTTTGTGTATCTGTATGCCTGTGTTTTGTCTCGTATAGGTTAAGCACACTCTCAGGAATGACATGGTTTGGGAATCTCTAGTTGCGACACTTCGTTCTTCTTTACCTCCATCTGAGACTCTTTTCTGAGAATGAGACAATTTTGGACACATCCAATTATACACCCTCAGAAACAAACCATCTCTCAGTGATTTAGGGCATTTTTCTTGGAACCGCAGAGTATTCTCGGTATTGCATATTCAAGAGGTTTATTTGAATGTCTTTTTTTCATTATTACAACATATTGCCGTTGGTGGTCCACTTTAGAAAATCTAACTTTCAAACTATGTCAGCTAACTCTCATTAGTGTAGACTAGTGGAGGTCTGTAAGGTTAGGGTTAGAATAAGTTGACGTAGTTGCAAAGTTGGGGAGAATCGAAATAAAGTGTTAGCTGATATTAAAGGAGTAGTTCACTTTTTAAAAAAAACTTTTGCTGATATTTTACTCACCCCCATGTCATCCACGATGTCCATGTCTTTCTTTCTTTTAAAGGGATACTCCACTCTTTTTGGAAATAAAATAAAATAAAATACCGTTTTCGAATCCATTCAGCCGATTTTCTGATATTTAATAGAATATCAGTAACCAGACAGTTTCTGGTCTCATTGACTTCCATAGTATATTTTTTTTTTTCCTATGGAAGTCAATGAGACCAGAAACTGTCTGGTTACTGATATTCTTCTAAATATCAGAAAATCGACTAAATGGTTTTTAAAACGGTGAAACTCGACTGTTTAACTCTGGGGGAGTGGTAAAATGAGCCTATTTCCAAAAAAAAGTGGAGTATTAATTGCGAGTTTATATGTCAATTCTTACATCTTTTTACAGAATTGCGACTTATTAGGCCAATTCTAAGGGGGAAAAAAGACTAACTTTTCCCCCCTCAGAATAGTTTAAATCTCACAATTTTGACTTCATGCATTTCTGACTTTAAAACACGCAATTGCGACTTTATATCTCGCAATTCTGACTTTATATCTCGCAATTCTGACTTTTATAACTCACAATTCTGACTTTTATAACTCACAATTCTGACTTTATAACATGCAATTGCGACTTTATATCTCGCGATTCTGACTTTATATCTCACAATTGTGAGAAAAAAGTCAGAATTGTGAGATAAAAAGTCGCAATTACCTTTTATATTTTTTGGTGGAAACAAGCTTCCATACAAACCTTCAAAGATTCATGGATTCTTTCCAGTGCAAAAAATTATAGAAAAAATTATAGGATTATAGAGATTTTTTTTTTTTTTTTAAATATGTTTTTCACAATATCAGAAATATTTTAAGAACTGATCCCTGAATAATAAGGGAACCAAAAATGGAACCTTAATTTTTTGGAGTATTCAATCAATTTAAAAAAAAAAAAAAAAAAAAAAAAGGTGTTCGATTGAATGCAAATGCTGTGATTTAGGTTCTTGTATCATCATACATTTGAGTGAAGGATCTCAAGGATTTTAATTTCATGATTTTTATTTCTATCAAAACCCACACTCTTAAAAATAAAGGTTATTTGGCGTTGATAGTTTCATGAAGAACCTTTAGCCTACACATCCATGGAACCTTCCATTCCACAAAAGGTTCCTTTTAGTGAGAAACGGAAACATGACTCTTTTTAGAACGTTTCACTAAAATGTTCTTTGTAGAACCAAAACTGGTTCTTGGCATGACTGCAAAACCCCTCTTTTGGAACCTTTATTTTTAAGAGTGCACCCCACCCCCGCGTGCCCGCGCACCCGCGCACATGCGCTTTCCCATTGAGTATTTTTGTGTGTATGTGCAGTACGTGACGCTCGGCTCGGGCATGCGGTGGTCCACTCGGGCGATGGGGGGAGAGAGGGGGTGGGGACTGTGTACAGGCGGAAGCATACCAATTTATTAATTATTAAAGAATGTTTACAAAATCTCTAATGATTTCCATGTGGAGACATCAAGGCTATTCTTGGTCCAGATGCATCATTCGCTGAAAAGTACGTTACATAAAATCTCAGAGCAAGAGATCAGCCAGAGTTCAGAGGAAAAGTAAATCTCTTTAAGCGAAAAGTAAGATAGGACTACCTGAGCACCTTCTTTGCTGTTAATTGGTGTGCCAAGCGATGAATAAACGTCTAACGAGCCAATATAATGCTGTCTGAATGACGAAGAGTTCGTGGATTGATTTATTGTTTTAATGATGAATTTTAACCCTCAGGGAATTCAACCTGTCAGAAGAATTATAGGCCTACTGTTAAAAAAATAAAATAAAATAGAAGTTGTGGTTGCCACACCTATCTTGGAAACGATTTATTTTGGTTCCCGTAAACAAAATAGATGATCAATAGGTCACGTGATGAATGAATAGCCCTATTATTCTAAATGAGACTTTATACGCAATCATAAACACGGGCAATGCAGTTTTCATTAAAAATACAAAACAAACAGTAAAATGTAGCACTCTGTAGGTGAATAATTATATAAAAAAATAAACATTCATTGTAAAATACAAAGTGACTCATATTTTGTAAACAGACTTTTTAAAATGTTAAAGTGTTCTTGTCGAGAGCAATATATTATTAGGCTTAACTGCACATTAGTAGTTTACAGTATTGTTAGCTTATACATTTAATATAGCTAGTCTACATTTAAACGAATGGACAGGCCAGGCTTTTATGTTCTTTTTCCTTCATAATGACAACAATTTGTTTAACAATAAGCCTACAGTCCCTGAGGTAACGTTAGGCTATAAGTTTGTCATTGTATTATGAGACTGACACTCCCACTTTTGACACGCACACCTCCAGTGTTTACCCACACGACTGCCAATTCACTTTCGGAATTCGCACTTTAATTCGGTGTTTTTAAAATAATGTTAATTAAAAAAAATTACGTTATCAAATGGACTCACCGATTGGTTCTTGCACGTACTTTGTCACTGTCAAATTCCAAGTGACTTCCGATAGCCTAGTTCTCCAACTCACTGACAGTTCACTGGCGATGGCAGAACCCGTTCAGGATGACAACATGGAAAGCTTTAGTTTTGAGCACACTGAACGTTCAGCTTTAAATAGCTTATCTGAGCAGCCCGCCCTGCCTCCTCCTCCTCCTCCTCCTCCTCCTCCTCCTCCTCCTCTTTCACTCAGAGCTGCCAGGTCTCCAGCAACGCATAGGGAAACATTCTCACTATTCATTCAGGATCGATTCATGAAACTTTTCAGAACTTTTACACGTGCAAGGACTTGAGTTTTGGCGTTGAGTGTTGCTGCTAAATTGCAAATGCTAATCTTTTTCAATCACGTGCATGATTAGCTAATTTAATTAATGGACATGTAAAGGAATACAAACCCAAATGATAGCAAGATAGGATTATAGGTGTGTGCTTTAATGACGCGTTCATGCATTCATTGAGAGAACATTCACCGATACTTTTACTCTCATCCCATCAAACAAATTTAGGTTCTGGGAACGTTAGTTTTTGGTTCCCAGAACGTTCCTAGAACTTTACCTTAAGGTTTAAGGGAACGTTCCTGGAACATTCTCTTACGTTATAAAAAAGGAACCTAAAAAGGAACGTTCCTATAACGTTCTTGTTTGGTTCCCAAAAAAATACCCTCATGGGACTATTCGGGAACGTTAGGGGAACGTTCTGTGTTTGATGTAAAACTGCCCACAAAGGCAAAGCCATTAGGGTGTTTTAATGTTTAGTTGGATTTATTATCTTTTTTTTATGACTTATTTTTTTAAACAAAAATCTTACATCATAACACTTGGCCATTTATTTTATTTATTCATTCATTTATTTATTTATTTATTTACATGTAACTACACATAGGCATCAGTGCTCTTAAATTCAGACTGCCAGCATCATTAAACACTCTGAATCTATAATTTAAATGACTGTAAAAAAAAAAAATGAACACTATACTTCAGATCATATATGGTCCCAATAGCATGGAAAATTCTAATGAGTTAAAAAAAGCTCATCTTTATACTTTAAGGAAACGCATGCCAGCAACACCAGCATACCGGGAAATGTGTATTTACGCCCGTATTCGTTTCGACAGTCTGTTTGCGGTTTTTTCACCAGTGGAAATTTACAGAGGCCAATTCCAAAGGAGAAACGGATTAGGATTCTGAACAGCGAGTCGGCTGCACAATCTGGGTGGAAGGCCAAGGCCCCCCATTGATGGTCATTAGTATTGTGTGACTTGGTACCAATAGCATTAATCTGTTTGCCACTGATCAGAGAGCAGTCTGAGTTTGTCAGCTCTGAAGGCGTTAGTTTGGAGGCTGACTCGGGAACGGTGTTAAAAGGGTAAATAAACCCTGAGGTTTTCTTTGAATTCTCATTGTGTAACGTCCAAAACGGACAGCAGGAAATTGTTTTGAGTTGTGGTGGATTTTCTTTCTTCGGTTCATTAGCTGAGGTCCGATTTGAACTCAAAAACTCCTTTACAACACATTCCAAAAAACAAGCAATTAAAATTCTCATTGTTTTTGACTTGGCCCCAAAAAAATGTCTCTCTGAATAAAGCCAATTTTATGTTCCATGTTTCTCTCTCTCTCCTCGTCTCACCTGTTTCTCCTGTTTAACTCCTCCCGTTTGCCTGACTTTGACAAGGAAGGTGTGTGAAGGAGAATTTTGCAGATCTGAACTGAAGCATTTTCAATGAGTGACACACTTAAACATTTAAAGTATGTGCACAAAATTAAAAAAAATAAAAAAAAAACTTAGGCAGGTGCACGATCAAATAAAGCACTAGACCAGAGTAAACAAAAATAGGCACACTGCACTGCTACTTAAAAATCGATTTATTAAAATGTGCAACGTTTCGACCCGACACACATAAGCAGACGGTGAATTGTAAGCCAGCGTCTGAAAGAGTTGGATAAATCACTCGTTTTCATTTCAAGCTTTTTTTTATAGATCCAAATGAATACTGATCTCAGACCTGCATGGAAGTTTTTAACAAAATGAGAATTTTAATAATGTATCTTAAAATGGTTATTCAGTTGTAAAAGGGCGTCAAGTACCGGCACACCTGCAAAAATGCTTGGCTTATGCATCTTAAACCCTCTGAAAACCCTGCTCCCGCAAGTAAAAGACATGTTTAAACTGGGATTTGACTGATACCTCGTGAAGGATTCTTTGGCCTGCATGCAGCCAGGCGGTATAATGAAACGGTGTTGTTGCGGTCCGATATCAAGGCTAGGAATAGCAACGGTGTGAGATGAAACAATCAAGGTCATCATTACAGACAGTGCATTACATGCATGGGGCAAACAAAGAAATGTTTGTCAATTATTTTACATTCGATTCTTGTATTTGCTGAAAGCGTGCTAGGCTGTTATTTTCTAGTATCAAGTATTACATTAAGGCATTATTAATGAAAACTATAATGTCAAGTTTTCCACTCTTCACTCGTCACTAGGCCTGTACCTTTTCAAAAGGAAAAACGTTTGTCCATTTTAGATACTAATCTGTATATTTTAGGTGCTAATATGGACATTTAGGTGCTAATATGTACATTTTAGGTACTATTATATATATTTTAGGTGCTAATATGGACATTTAGGAGCTAATGTGTACATTTTAGGAGCTAATATGGACATATTAGGTGCTATTATGTACATTTTAGGTGCTAATATGGACATTTTAGGTGCTATTATGTACATATTAGGTCCTAATATGGACATTTTAGGTGCTATTATGGACATTTTAGGTGCTATTATGTACATTTTAGGTGCTAATATGGACATTTTAGGTGCTGTTATGGACATTTTAGGTGCTGTTATGGACATTTTAGGTGCTGTTATGGACATTTTAGGTGCTAATATGTACATATTAGGTGCTAATATGGACATTTTAGGTGCTATTATGTACATTTTAGGTGTTATTATGTACATTTTAGGTGCTATTATGTACATTTTAGGTGCTAATATGGACATTTTAGGTGCTGTTATGTACATTTTAGGTGCTAATATGTACATTTTAGGTGCTAATATGTACATATTAGGTGCTAATATGGACATTTTAGGTACTGTTATGTACATTTTAGGTGCTAGTATGTACATTTTAGGTGCTATTATGTATATTTCAGGTGCTATTATGTACATTTTAGGTACCAATATGCACCCTTTAGGTACTTTTGATAAGGTACAGCCTCAGTGACAGCTTTTGTACCTTTTTTTCTGAGAGTGCAGGAACACAGCAGTGTATGTTGATTGATGGAGTGGATTGGTTTTGCCTCACCAAATTCACATGAGCTTTAAACTCTTTACCTTATAACATGGATTGTCTGTTGTGTGGTACATAACAAGAGCACTATTTCTACACTGTAAAAAATATTGATGGTTTAACTTAAAAAAGTAAGTAACCTGGTTGCCTTCAAATTTTAAGTTGATTGAACTGGAAAAAGTGAGTTAATACAATGAAGGAGAATGATTTAATCATCAGAAACTCAAAATGATATGTTATCTGAACTAAATAAATTATTTAAGTTGATTTGACAAAAGAAAAAAAATGTTATGATTACTACACTGTAAAAAATATTGTTGGATTCACTTAAAGTAAGTAACCTGGGTTGCCTTAAAATTTTAAGTCGATTGAACTGGAAAAAGTGAGTTATGACAATGAAGGAGATTAATTTAACCATCAGAAACTCAAAATAATAAGTTATCTCAACTAAATAAATTATTATAAAGTTGATTTGACAAAAGAAAATATGTTGTGATAACAAATCTTGAAAATATTCTTAACAGTGTAATCAGTGATTGGAGCAACAAAAAATATCTGTAATCACGTGAATTTATGATTTCCCCCCTTATTATTGATGGTTTAGCCAGATCTAATCAACTCTGTTTGTTTTGTGTGGCATTGAGAGAAGTGGCCATCAAATGTATTCAGGAAAAGAGCAGCAAGATGTATCTTTATTCAATCGCAATGAAAGACGATTTCGATATATATCAACAGACAATGTTGAATTGTTTTCACAACCATATTTAGATCACTTCCGGCGCTTGCACAGACCGAAGCGCCCGTGCCCTCAGAGTACTTGGACATGACTGTGATTACAAGAGGTAAAAACGATATAAATACTGCTCATTTCGTGTCTTAGGCCATCAATGTGTACTTACATTTACGAGTCATTAAATCATGTTTAATTTGGACTTCTCTGTGCATGCTCTTTGAGGTGGTGACCATAGACCTCCATTATATGACTGACAAGAACGGTTTGACCTAAAAATATCAAAATTGAAACTGCTGAAACAAAGACACCTACATCTTGGATGTCCTTGAGGTAAGATAAAACATACCAAAAATTAATTTCAAAGTAAACTATCGCTTTAAAGAGTCTATGCTGTGAACTTTACACATGAAAAATCCAGCGTTTAGTTGTTCATTGTCACTTGTAAACACGACGGCGTTCTTCTTCCATGAGGGGGTTTGGCTTCCCGTCATCTATGTTCCAGGCGGATCGTTAAGAACACGACACACACGTCTCTTGTCATCACCAATCAGATGATGGCTTCGAAACTCCCAAAGTGTTTCCAGTTTTGTGTGGCTCACGCATTCGGGGGCGTGACGTTTGAGGCTGAGAGCGGCTGCATGGCTTCAGTTCACAGAATATCTGCCCTAATCCAGCTCAGATCGCTTTTGACCAGTTTCCCCACCCTGTTCTCAACTAAAATATCCCCTCCCCAAAACGACCCCTCCAATTTTTTCTTTGCACGTCAACAACCCACCTCCCCTCCACACACTATTCCCTGGGGCGTGTGCGGGAGCTCACGAGTCCGCGTCAAATTCCTAAATTCACAAATTCAACAACAATGACACTTTAGTTAATGTGTGCTACTGAGAAAAACATGCTTTGACTTGTTTGGATTGTGCATGAATGTTGCATTCTTGGAGACAAACTAAGACTAATCCTCATGTCATCAGGATTAATAATGGAAATACGATTTAATAAACAGAATGCTGTCTGAATTTAAATGTAACTTTTTTGTTTGTTCAGTCAATACATCATAAATTCCTTTACCAAAACATGTTTTTGTCCTGTTACTCTTTGGTACGCTATTTTATTGAACATATAAATAGCCATATGCGTTTAGTTCATTATAAAGCATTATTTATTGTGAAGTCTCATTTCATTATGGTTGTTGTATTGGTGTGTAAAGATACAGTAATGTCTTCAGCTAGTCAGCTTGACATCCTTTCCATCTAAACTGGTTATATCTCTTAAAGGGATAGTTCACTTTAAAATTAATTTTTGATATGTTTTAGTTTACCTCAAGGGCATCCAAGATGTAGGTGTCTTTGTTTCCGCAGTATTTTCAAGTTTTATATTTTTAGGTCAAACCGTTGTTGTCTGTCAGTCATATAATGGAGGTCTATGGTCACCACCTCAAAGAGCATGCACAGAGAAGTCCAGATTAAACATGATTTAATGGCTCGTATATGCAAGTACACTAAGGTAAAACTTCCGAAATCGAGTGACGTACACGCGCAAGAGATCACTTCCGGCGCTTGCGCAGACCGAAGCGCCCACGACCTCAGATCACTTGGACGTGGCTGTGGTTACAATAGGTGAAAACGCTCGTTTCATGTCTTAGGCCATCAATGTGTACTTACATTTACGAGTCATTAAATCATGTTTAATTTGGACTTCTCTGTGCATGCTCTTTGAGGTGGTGACCATAGACCTCCATTATATGACTGACAGACAAGAACGGTTTGACCTAAAAATATCAAAATTGAAAATACTGTGGAAAGAAAGACACCTACATCTTGGATGCCCTTGAGGTAAGATAAAACATATCAAAAATTAATTTCAAAGTGAACTATCCCTTTAAACCCATATGAGCAGTTTTATGAGCAGTTTAATCATATTCATTCGCACACACACACACACAGAGATGAAGCACAACCAAAACAATGTTCTTCCACAAAATACATTTTTGTTTTGTTTTTTAACCGCTAGATGGCCAAAAGTTACATAGTGTACTTTACTGAATCCCATTACATCGGTTCACAAGCTCTGATCCAGCACTTTCCTGGTCTGTTGCCTTCTGCTACTGTCTGGACCCATTGTTGAGGTTGATGAGTGTTTTGTCTGTTCTCTGTGTCTAATTGGTGGACGCTAATTGAATTAGTCTGGATGGGTCCATAACAAAGCATTTAGTACAACCTCTTCTTTCCCTTTTTCGCCTAATTATATGTGAAACAAAAATGTCATGCAGTTATTATAGGGGTGTGTGTATGTGTGTGTGTGTGCGTGCGTGCGTGCGTGTGCGCGTGTGCGTGTGCGCATGATCTCTGTGGCCATAAGAACAGAACATCCTTTCCTGGAACACTCTGTCTGGTTTGAACAAGTTGTCTATACATTAATAAGCTGACGTAGTAATGCGTACCAGGGCATGCTGTTGTGGCTGTGAAACAGCGCCCTCTTGTGGCTGAGAAATGTATAGTATGTTTACATCGAGCGGCTTGGTCTAAGTTGGTTTTGGGATTCTCCAGCCTTTATCTTATCTTGGGCTTCGAATGGGTGTTTACTACAGGATTAAGATGAAATTAGAGTGAAGGTTTGCTGAGGTTACAACGTGAGACTTTATATGCAAATAACAATAGACATCGCTGTGAAAGAATCGCACGCTGTTTTTGAGAATGGACCAACATTGGTTTCAATGTATGAATGTTGTCTCAGCTGCAAATTTGGCCTTCGCCAACAGGGGGGTTTGACCCAGTGCTGCAAGATCCGGTTTGATCCGGTGTCACAATAGGGTTACAACAGTGAAAGCAGTGATTTTAAAGGATATAGACAATGGCACAGATGTTGAGATGGAAAGCAAAACTGAACATGTTGGCTTTATCAAAAATGCAAATGGGAAAACAGCCAAAACACGCTGTCAACTTGATGCCTCCCAAATATAGCCTACCAGAAAAAGAAAACACTCATGGGTATTTCTGTAACCTGTAAAGGAAATCTTATTCTCATGCAATCTGATGCCAAGTCTAAAGATAGACATTGCTCATTTTAAGTTAATAATTTATGCCACTAAACTAAGTATGGCTCATGAGAGAAGCAACATTTCAGCAAATTATGTTTATTATAAATTATGTATTTTTATGTTTTCCCACACAATTTCCATCAAAATCATGGTAGTTTTGAGCTTGATATTTTAAATACAAAAGCTTACAGGTCAAAAACAACCAATCAAAATTGCTCATTTCATCTCCAGAAATAGAGAAAATAATCCATTTAAAAGAGACATCAGTAGCAGTCATACTGGCTTTCATTCAGTAAAAGATGCCATTAAACAAATATTTAAAATATACCGTCTTTATGTTGGTCTATTTGTAGATCCAGTGTGAAATTCTATATTACAAATGTTAATGTAGGTGCGATTAATTACAGAAAACGTGTGATTAATTTGTTTTTTTATTGATTGACAAGAATAATTTATTGATTCGATACTACACTGTAAAAATGATTTTTTTTGGTGAAGTAAATACTAGTGGAAAAAAAAAACAATGTAATTTACATGAAAAAGATAGTTCATTCCAGTAAATTCCGTATCAGTCCTTAATTCAAGCGAGTAGAAATGAAAATGTAAATATCAACTCAATAAAATTAAGTAAAAATGACTCAACTTTCCTGATACTGGGGTTCCCATCATGCACTGGACCTTGAATAATTAATTAGGTTCATTTTTCACTGTTTTCCAGCTGTATTTACACTGTTTTATCATTGATTTTTGTTGTCCGTATATTAGTAACTTGCCATTTTGTGACATTTCGAGTAAATTTTTTTTGCTCAAAATGACACTTCAAACACAAAAACGACCCATCAAATGTTACCGCCAGTGTGTATTGTCTACCAAGTATTGAGGTCTTTACATTCACATGATGCGTAACATCTGACAAGATGATCTAAGTAAAGCATATACTATAAATGACTAATACATTTTAATATTATTGTTTTAGTGATATGTAATACAAAGGCAAAGGAAATCGACATTATCAACCTTTTACTAGCCAAGTTAAAAAATATTTTTTGTAAAGTTTACTTAATTCAATATTCCATTTAACTTAATAGATTTCTAATTAAAGCTACTGTTAAATATGTTTAGGTTTTTTCTTGGCAAATTTACTAGCATTTTCTGAGTGAAAAAAGTTAGTTAGCTTTTCTCAAGTAAATCCAACTCCAATTTTTTTTCAGTGCATAAAAATACAGAATAAAGTTCAAATAAGGTTAAATTTACACACAACCCTTTTTAGTGATGCTTATAAGCAGTCTGTGTGAAAGCTGTTAGTCCATTGTTGTAGTTGTTGTAGTTTTCCCCCTCAGAAGATCTCACAGACCTCCTTCATCCTGTTGTACAGAGAAAAGAGATCAGTCTCAAAGCCCATATGAAAATGTTCATTAATTATTATAATTATGTAATTATTTCAGTGTGTAAGAGGTCATTATTTCAGAGGTCTTAAAGGTTTACGGACTGCATTTGTTTGTTTTTTATAGACCTCAAAGACTAAGCAGTGTTGGCGGGAACACGAGTTACGTAATCTGATTACTTTTTTCAAGTAACTAGAAAATAACTCATTACTCAAACGGTATATTACATGCATTTATCTGAGTTACTTTTTCAAACGTGTAATGCAAGTTACTTTGTTTTCTGCTGTCCTCATATTGAGAGAAATCCTAAATAAGTGGAGAGTACTTTTGTGTGAACATGATGGTTACTGTAGTTTTTGCACAAAAATTAGGGCTGTCAAATGATTTATCGCAATTAATAGCATCCAAAATAAAAGTTTGTGTTTAAATAATATATGTGGGTGCACTGTGTATAATTATTTTATATATATATATATATATATATATAAATACACACACATGCTTGTATATATTTAAGAAATATTTTCATACTGTATTTATGTCTAATGTATATTATATATAAATATTTTATATATAAAATTTTTTTCTTAAATATACATGCATGTATATATATATATATATATATATAAAATAATTATACACAGTGCACCCACATATATTATGTAAACACAAACTTTTATTTTGGATGCGATTAATCGTGATTAATCGTTTGACAGCCCTAACAAAAATAGATTCAGATTTCCTAAAAATTAATAAAAACAGTCCAAACTCACAATATTACACAAACCTGCAATAATTAAACATTAAATTTAATCTCACTGATATTCGATTATCCAATTCAACCATGATTTTAGATAAACAACACGTGTTTATTGCTGCATTTTTACTTTTGTCATGAAAGCACCCTTTATTTGCCAAAAATACAACTTTTGTTACTTTTTCTCACTAGCCCACTTGAGAAAACATGATGCAAAAGAAACGCAACATATTAGTCGCCATAAAAAGTAGCTAATAAAATATGTTACTTTTAAGGGAGTAACATAATATTGTAACACATTACTTTTAAAAGTAACTTTCCCCAACACTGGTTACTGGTTATAACTCCTGTAAAAAAGTGTTTCTCTATGACACGTCAATGTAGTTTTTGCTCAATAAATTACTTTTTTTTTACTGTAAATGCTTTATTTAATGTTTCTGTAAGATGTACCGATTTTCTCTTTCGGCAGTCTCCACAGAAGCAGCCCACGCATCCGTTCACGACCTGAATGACACAGAGTATCGCCTGCAACAGAGCCAGACCCAACAGGATGGAGAACAGCACGATGTGCCAGAGAACCACATTGTCAGGAAAGTCACATTCGGACCATCTATTCTGATCCACCAGGTAACTAGTGCTGTTCCTGTTCCAGCGAGACAGAAAGAAGAGAGAAAGAGCTTGAGAAGGGCCTCATCTAGTGGACACACAATCAACTGCAATTTGAGTGACATTAAATTCACATTAAAGGGGTAGTTCACTTAGTTCACCACCGGGTGCCATTGAATTCCATTGAATTTAATTGTATACATTCTGCCTTTACAAATTAATACATTTCTGTCCAAATATCAATTTTGTCACAGAATTTGGAACCTTGAGACTCAGACCTTTCTGACAATATGTGTTTTGTCAAGATTAAAAAAAAAGGTTTTGATTATAAATTCTGAATATAATGATGCCCAAAAGGGGAGGAGCCTGATAAAATAAATACCGTTTCTATGGTAACGCAATGTTCAATTATAAACTGGTATTCACAGGATGAATTCTGAGTTTATAAGCTTTCAAATGATACCAAATTTATGATAACTACTAAAATATGTGATATAATAAAAAAAGCGATAAAAAAATTATATTATATTTTAGGATAATATATATATATATATATATACACACACACACATATTATAATTTTTAGAGGATAATATTATACTATAATTTTTATTTTTATTGAAAAATACTAGATTATATGTTTTATTATGAACTTTTAGCATAAAAACTGAAGTTTCAATGATTAAAAGTGGGTGCATCGACTTTTTGTGACAAAGGTCAGACCTCATGTTATGATGCAGATTTTTTTGAGGTGCACTCTTGTCATAAATTCATCATTTACTCTTCCTACATAATTTGTAACACAAAACAGGGGTAGAATATATATTTAGAAGTCTTAGACCTTTTCAACAATATATAATTTGTCATAATTAGATTAAGATTTAATAGAAATATAGTCAAGTAAAGTTAGGCGTCCCGATACCGGGACAGTGACAGTTAAGGGGTTAAAAGAGAATTATCCCTTTAAACCTGCTGACTATAATGATTATCTATATTAACAACTAAAGCAACTAACCCTTTTCTTTTAGGTTTTAAGTGTTCTTACTCTGATTTATCCTCAAAGGGATATTTCCAGTCTTCGCCCACTCTGCATTTTGGCCCGACAGCCAGCGCTGCAATGGCGACACAACCACAGTAGACCGACCCAATAACGCCAAATACAGACGAGAAAACAGAACTCAGCATCTGTACAAAACAAACACAGCATGAAATAGTTGTACATGTCCTCTATAGTGAGTTTCTTGCTGTAAGTCATAGTCAAGTCTCACTTTTTACTTGATATTGTTTCAAAGCAGCTTTACAGTAATAAAAGGAAAATAATGCAACAAAGTTTGTTTTTTAGAAGAAAATAGCATCACAGTCCAACTTAAGTAAGTTCAGCGATGGTTCATTTTTTTTGTGAAAAAGTTATTAATTTAGTTCATTTATTTATATATATATATATATATATATGTATATGCCATTGTCCAGCTCAGTTCAGGTCTCATATAATGGTGTCAATGCAGGTAGATCATTATAATTAATGAATATATTAAATGTGATAGTGATTTTACATATTTTACTTACACGGCAACGGTTTCCACAGCAACCAGCCCCACAGCAACCTTTGCCCCCGGCTCTGATGGCTGAGCAGCTTGGACACATCATCTGATGAATGAAAGAGAGCGGAAATGTACTTATCATTAACTGTGATGTCAAGGTCAGAAGATTCACTATAATGTTTGTATCAAATACTCATCATCAGGTCATTCTGGCTTAAATATTATATACACAATGAGGTGACCTCACTCAAGAAAGTACACTGTTGTCTAATCATTAAGCAGATCAAAATCTATAGGCCTACTAATTTAGTTCCTTTGTACCATGCATTGAATAGAAAATGGTTCTTCTAATTATTAAAATCTTAAAAGAAAAGGTCACATCACTCTAAAAATGGGTTGTTTTAACCCAACTTTGGGTCAAATATGGACAAACCCAAACATTGGGTTAAAAATGAAATTAAAAAAAAATTACCCAATGGCTGGGTTTGCCCATATTTGACCCAAAGTTGGGTTGAAACAACCCAGCAGTTTTTAGAGAGTGATCATGCTATGTGCAAGTACAAATATTACAGAAAACGTGGAGTGAGTTTAGTGTGTAATTTAGTGCATTTTGAGGGACAATTAAACTCTTAAAAAAAAATGTTCCAAAATGGGGTTTTCACAGCGATGTCATAGAAGAGCAATTTGGGGTGGACAGTTTTAAAGGGGACGGTACACCCCAAAATAAAAATCTGTCTCATTTACTCATCCACCATTGACTTCAATAGTGAAATCTGGGAAAATAATTTGGTTTGGTTACCATCATTCTACAAAATGTCTTGTTTTGTGTTCAACAGAACAAAGATACAGGTTTAGATAAATAATAAAAACAGAATCTTTATTTTTGGATGTACTGTCCCTTTAAGAACTATTCACCCAAACTTGCCCTTCTATGACATCGCTGAGAGAACTCCATTTTGGAATCTTTAATTTTAAGAGTTTAAAATGCATCAAACTCAGTCCAATTTTTCTGTAACATTTCTATTTGCACACATGATCCTGTGTAAATGCAATTATGGCTTGATTGATGTAACTTTACTCTGGATTAAACCATTATGGTCATCCAGGATGTTACAATGTCAATAAACCAATTTTTCAGGGTGTGAGCAGTGAAGCTCCGCATGCATGTGTAATGTTTCTAATAACAGCCACATCCTTGTTCCTCAAAACGAAGGTTCCTGCATTCAGTTTCTTATAACAACACACAAATTATTCCTCAATTATACACTGTAAAAATATATTGTTGGTTTAACTTAAAACAAGTAAGTAACCTGGGTTGCCTTAAAATTTTAAGTTGATTGAACTGGAAAAAGTGAGTTAATACAATGAAGGAGATTGATTTAATCACCAGAAACTCAAAATAATAAGTTATCTCAACTAAATAAATTATTTAAGTTAATTTGACCAAAGAAAAAATGTTGTGATCTTTTACAGTGTAAGTCTCTTTATCGATCATAATGCCATATCATATTCGATAAAGAAAAGTCAGTGTGTTTGATGTATCATGTCTAAAACGAGTTTAGGTTGAGTGGGACACATTTTACCATTGAAATAACTGGGAAAAATGTCCCAATCAACCCGAACTCATTTGACTAAATTCCTAAGTCCCTAATTTGTATTCTCAAGTTCAAACAATGACCATCAAATCCAGAAAGACTGAATACTCACAAATAGTCCTCCACCAAGAGCACCTCCCATAAGCCAGACCTGCAGGGAAATCTGATTCGTTTCCAGCTTCTCCCCATTAGGGAAGAATAAAAGTATATTGGCTATTATGCACAAAAAAGCCGAGGGTAGAAGTATTAGCCCCACCAACCGCGCACACTTTCCAGTACACATTGTGACGAATCTCAGTATTAAAAATCAGATTCAAGAGAAACTGGCGAAGGTTGTGTTGTTCTTAGCGCGACACGGACACACACTGACACCACCGAATGCCCTTTGAGACTTGACAATATTTACAGTGCTTTTATCAGTGCCATTTATGGTCTGTTAGCACAAGTGGATGACGTTTCTGATTTACTGATCATTACTGTCTAACGTGTAGTGATAGCCTAAGTGTGTCTGGTTGATCAATGTAAGGACGAGTTACAGTAAAGCCATGACTGAACAACAAGGCCCTGTTTTACAGCCTATTTCATAATATCTTGTGTTATAAATGGCAACTGACCACATTTATTGAGCTATTGTAAGGCCAGTGATATTTCCACTAACGTAATTTCTCCATTCATTTGACCATCTTTAATGATGTATAACGCACAATTAAAACGCAAAATAAACTGTTTGTTGGAATAACAGTTGTTTTTAGAGTTCTTTACCCTCAAAGGTTGTATTGAAACAGTGAAGCACTTGAACCTCGAATTAACTATTTTTCGACTATACGTCAAAAACCACCTCAAGTGAGCGTATATGTTTTGATTGTTTTATTTTTTGTGAATTTATGAATTTTTAATAGCTTATGTTATGGTGAATGAATGAAGCCGCGCTCCTTTTCAGTGCTGCACTCGTCGTGTTCTGTCTTCCGGTTTGTTTTTCCACAGCATGAAGGTATGGGCTATATGCACGCATAAGTTCCGCATTTGACGTAAGGATGCTCGTCCATTTCCGGTTGTGTAGATTAAAGCGGAGGAAAACCGGAGAAAACGGGATTATGGCAGAGTCTTCAATATTAACTGTCCTCCCGTCTTTGAAACGAAACGTACATACGTTTAGATGTAATTTTATATATAGTTATGTTTATTTAATATAATTTTAAAAAGAAGCATAAACACAACGAGGGGTGTCTGTTTTATCTGTTTTTGTGACTAACGTTTCATTAGTATAACCATGGAGTATAAAATTCAATATAAATTCTCGGTATTGCATTGGACTCTATGATCGGCGGAAGTTATCGAGCATTAATAATAAATAATAAATAATGAATACATTTGTAATGAGATCCGATTCAAAAGGCTCATGATAATATTCGTTAACTCTAATAATTAGCCTAAATCTGCTTCCCTAATCTGGGGAGCGCGGGGCACAAAAGTTGCCACCCGTCCCTTAAAATACGGAATCGTCCCGTATTTGTGAAGTAAACAGCGCGTCCCGTTTTGAATCAATACGGGACGCGGTTTGTCCCGTATTTCCGAACGCATGATCCCATGCAAATCATGCCACCCGCATTCTGTGAAGACTCGTCCTATTCTACCCTTGATTGGGTAATACTCGCTGCCATTGTTGGTTTGATTGGTTTGTTTAATATACCATCAGGTTCAGGGCCAATCAGAGTCAGAAGAGGGCGGGTCTTGCCTATGCGTCCACCTCTAAAACGAAAGTGGGTGCAAAAGTAATGACGAGAGTGGGAGGAAACAAATAGTTGGCTGGAAAGTGTCAGTGACAATGAGTAGCCTAAATAAGTTATAATAAGAAATAAGAGAGAGATATATTTAATACATATTTAATAATAAAAATGTACATGTTGTGGAGAAAATAACTTATGCTTAACAAACCTAGAGAATTTTATCCTTTAATAGGCTACTATAGAATTAACAATATGTCTGAATACATAAATAAATACATAAATAGATTTTCTTACCAATAATACAAATAGTCATATCAACGGACATAATTTTACATAGACCCACACATAGTTGAATAAATAAATGAGGATTTTACAGTAGCCTATAGATAATACTAATAGTAATTATAATAAAATCAATTTCACAAGAAGTAGAGTAGTCAATTTGCGCAAGAATGCATTTTAGTGTCTTTTTTTCCATAGTGACGAGTCTAGAGAAAATGCGGTATAGGCCTATTGTTTTTTTGTTTTTTCTTTGAAAAATAAATATATAATATTAATATGGTATTCCATACATTTGTCAGAGCTTGGTAGAAAGGTAACTATATTTGTTAATGTTATTAAACAGATTAATAAATACATTATAATTGGTATTATTAAATATTAATCATATATGCATACTAAATTATGGTCATATCTGTAATACACACTTTGTGGCAATTAAAAGAAAGTTTTAAAAGTGCAAATTTAAAAAAAAAAAATTAGGCAAACAATTACATAATAAATTCAAAATCAATTTGAGTAAATAAAAACAATAAAAATAACCCATCCATGCAGAATTGTCAAAAACATGATTACTGGTATATAAGTAAAATTATAAAATGTAAAATAATAAAATGTAAAATAATAATATAAAATGTTTTTTGTTGCAAGCTCACATACTTGATGTCATGTTTTCTCGTGGTTTATTGTTGAGCTGTCAAGTCGTCATGTTGAAATAACCAGTTCCATACCCTTGACACATTTTTTTGTTATTATTTCATTTAATTATTTATTTATCTCGTGTATGGGTGTCCCTTATTTTGCCTCACTGAAGGTGGCAACCCTGTGCCGCACAATGTAACGCTATTGGCTAGTTGTAACACACTTGTTTTAAATACTTTCACACTTGCTAGCATGACGAAACTTGGTGTATTTACTAGTTGCCATTTCAACACTAGAAAACATTGCACCAAAATTCAGAAATCTGTGCAAGGTGTCACTGAACATTTATTTAACCATATAGCAAAACATTAAAAAAAATTGTTCGTCTCTATTTTTTGTGTTTATTTAAAATTAGACAACTCTGCTAACTAGCAATAGACACTAGCAGGGTTTAAACCCTGTCGTAACATGCTATTCAATACTTTTATGAATTCTATTGAGAAAACATGAGAAACATGTAAATAAAAAAAGAACCAATGTTCAGAAATTTATTAATTAGTATTTTGTTTTGAACTATGCTGTATAGGTGTGTTTTCCAGTGTGTTTGTTGTCAAAAATTTGTTATTTTTAATTATTAAAAAATGCCATTATTTTATATGAAAATGTTAATAATTGTATTTTATTAAGAAAATATTTTGGTTTGAGTTGTATATATTTTTTGATTAGATCAGACACTGTATTATTAAAGCAAAGCCACAGTGGGGGAAAAAATAATGCTCTAAATCCTAAGTAGACAAACTGAGAAAGTCAAAAAGCGTTTAATTGTGCCCCGCTCTCCCCTAATCTTTGACAGTGATGCCATAAATATACAGAGCTACCGCAAAAAAAGTTAAAAGTTCAAAGACAAAATTATAAAATGGTTTAAGACGCATAAGGTCTATTGACAAATCGTTAGCGAGAGCAAACATCAACATGTTGATTTTACAATATATTTTTATATTTCTATATTTTTATTCTAGGCCGGTTAATTGATAAACATAGCATTTTTAATAACATAACAGTAGGCTACACCAATCTTTTGGGTTCTAAAGTTAGTGAAAATTGGAAACATTTGACCAATCTGGTCGCGTTACATATCACGTAAATTTGTAACACGTCATTATGTAGCGCACTTGAGCAGCGGTCGCGCGAGGTTTGGCATCGTACGTTTAGTTTAACAAGTGTTACAGCTCGGGGTGGAAGCAAGGTAAGTAATTTAAAACATTTTGTTTAACATTAATCGAGAGTCGACTGTTATTTGACATGTTTTGCCAATGTTGTTGACGGTTTGTTGTCGTCAGTCGGTTGTGGCGTTGCTGTTTGAATTTCTCGTGTAACGCTTAACGGGCCTACGTTAACTGGATGCGTTACATGTGGAATTAAACACATAATACACGTTGTTTCAACTTTCAAAACTTAACGTTATGCATTTACATCAGGATGTTGACTTAATTATTGTGTAATCTGAGATAAAATATGGGTTGATCATGTAGAAGTTATATCACCTTATAATTAATATTGTCGATGGTTGGGTTCATAACATTTTGTGCGAGGAAAACATACATTTGAGTACTTTGCTGAATATTCTGACTCGAAATTGTAAAAGTTGCTGATGGGGCTGGATGTTTGTCTTCATGTAGCGCTAAGTTAGCACTGCTAGTGAACTTCAGGGGATATGCCATTATTGATGTCGTGGAAAGAAATGATGTGCCTTGCTGTTTGTTGTCAGAAGAAAAGTCACGATGTCTGTTGTTGTGTAAAATGTATTTCCCTTTTAAAGTATTATCAATATTGCCATTGACATTTGTTTATCATAGACTGTAAGGTGTACATGAGTTTCATAGGCCTACGTATCACTGTGGAGCTGTTGGGGAGGCAGTTCTTAATTTGTCCACTGGGGGCATATCCTCACCGCATTTAAAATAAATGTTTTACATTAACTTGATAGATTCTGTGTATTTTACCTGTACTGTCATGTCTTAAGTTAAGCTTTTTTTTTTTTTTAAATCAATTTGATTCGTTTGCGTTCGTTTTTATAAAACTCCGGGAATTATCCATTATCGAAGCGTGCAAGTTTCCAGGTTTCTGGTTGGAGAACTAGTACCTCATTAGCATGTCTGCTTGCCCTTGTCAGACTTCATTGAAGAAAGTAACTGTCATTCTTTTTTAACTACATGTCATATAAGCCAGTGTTTATATGATAAGGTGTGTAAGCTTTTATACTATTATGGACACAAAAGGCGTTTAGAATTTAAATGAGTAACTTCTCACCGTCGTCGTGTTTGCTGTTTACAAGAGTCTGGTCGCTACTGCAGACCAATTGTGGGTATCGCTTCTCGGCCTTTTGGCTAAGATCAAGTGTAGTATCTGTTCTTATCAGTTTAATATCTGATACGTGCCCTACCCGGGCACCATATATTAAATTGATTTTTGGATCAGGGAGATGGAATAGGGGCTTGCTCCGTCCACTCCACGCATCGACCCGGTATTGCAGTACTTCCGGGGACGGTGCACCCCCTTATATGGTGAATGATAGAAACTGATCTATTGATTATGCTTTATGAACGATGAGAGATACGGATACTATACTGAACTGAACATGTACTTCGTTTTGAAAATTTGAATATTTTGTGTTTTTATAGTTATAATGCGCTTCGTTGTGGCGAAAGTTGAGTTAATATTGCTCTTAGTGTTTGATCCCGTTAGTCATTTTGAATAATGTGTCTGCTAAAATATTCGTCGTAAAAACGGACACTTGTTTTCAGTGGGTGTAGGAACAACCAGGAAGACACTTTTGCTTGTCACGTGCTTCTGCAAGCTAGGCCTTTAAAGGGACAGTTCACCTCAAAATATCGGCCATGTTTGTCTGTTGGGAAGTACTTTGTTTT